TCCTCCTTTCCCTATTAGGTCTTAGGAATCCACGACGATGCCACACCTGAAGAAATCCACAAAAGCTACCGGGAGCTGGTGAAGCTTTGGCATCCAGATCACAATCGGCACCGGGCGGAAGAGGCGGAGAGACGTTTCATTGAGGTACAAGCTGCCTACGAGCTCCTCACACAGATGAGGAAGCCAAAGCCGACATGACGGACTCTGACTGCCTCCATAAAACACTGACGTTTATGTTGCTGGGGGCCTTGAAGCCATGGTTCTCAAAAGAGCTTCTCAGAGCAGCCCTACATTGGTCCAGAAGATGGAGGACACAAATTGTATAGTGAAATATATTTGGAGTCGAGTGTTGATTTCATGCTGTTTATTCAGCTCATAGTAGTGAGGAATGAAAGTTCCCCCAAAATATCTGCTTTATATACATTATTTACATAATGGGTTGCACGTGATTGGCTAATTCTGGGATTCTCCTGTAGGCCAATCAGGTTGCGGATTCACTTCCACCTGGAGCTGGATTGGGTGGCTCCTGCAGACCAATCATACTGCTGCATTGTTCTAGGACCAATCAGACTGCTGCATTCTGAACCCTATTGTTCTAGGACCAATCAGACTGCTGCATTCTGGACCCTATTGTTCTAGGACCAGTCAGACTGGTACATTCTGGACCCTATTGTTCTAGGACCAATCAGACTGCTGCATTCTGGACCCTATTGTTCTAGGACCAGTCAGACTGGTACATTCTGGACCCTATTGTTCTAGGACCAATCAGACTGCTGCTTTTTGGATCCTATTCAACTCAGTACATAACATATAGTATGCCCTTCCACTTGGTCATTTGTTGACTTAGCGGTGCCAAGTCTTCCTCCTCCCTGTTCCCCCCCCCCTTCAAATTCTCTGGGTCTGTTTTCCAGAGACTTTCCAGCGCTCTAAGGACTGGCATGATCCCTTTTTCTTTTTATGTTGCCTGTCTTTTGACATAGGAGGAGAAGCAGTGCTTTCAAGTTTTGCTTTTCTGTCCTAGAAATATTTGTATTGAAGGGAGGATACATTTATTATACAAATAAAATGTTTGCTAATAATATTTGGGAGGTTTTTTGGGGGGACCACTCAGGAGGTTTGAAAACATATGAAATATTTTTATTGTATTTTTTTAAAGTACAGAAAAGATAGGGTTGTCATATTTCAAAAAGTGAAAATCCGGACAGAAAAGTTGTTGAGCATTCTGTAGTTTTGCCCAAAGTTGTTGAGCTATTTTTAAGGGAAATTGCCAACGTGGTTTGCCATTCATCTGGTTTCTCCTGGACATTTCAACAATTCCCACACCAGGACAGTTTCCGACGGCTGGTTCCCGGCTATGTCCAGGAAATACCAGACATATGGCAACCCTAGAACAGAAGAATGGCATATAATCATTAATCCAAAACCACAGAGACTCAAAATCTAAACTAAAGAAAATAATGAGCACTGTCTCACATTATCACCAAATTTTTCGTTCCAGAAGGAAATAAAATCGGACATTTTTTCCCCTATACGTTTTTCTCTTGCTTGTACATAATAAGTTAGCTTATGATTTACTGCTTTATCCCAAATACTAAAGAACTAGTCTGACCAGGGGAGATGGCGAGGCATCTTTCCCCTACAATACATTGAAATTGACATTTTTGATGCTATCAAAATAATAGTACCCATTTCTGCATCTACATTCCCAATAGTCTTCCAAGTAGTTGAAGAATACATTTATTGGGTTTCTTAGAATTTTGTGAGTTTGCTGGTAGGATCAACTGATAGGTTCAGATGGATCCCCCCCCCCCACACATTGCATTTTTAATATAATTCACCAGTGAGTGCTGAATGGCAATATCTTCAATTACAATACCTGTTGGTGTGTATTTATGGACCATCTGCATTGAGCAACTTCTCAATTGTTGGAGGGAATTACTGGATCTCCCCTGAAAGCTAAATCTATGACTGCTGTTTATAAATGCTTCTTGGACCTTTGTAAAGTAGATTGGCAGGAACCTAGAGAGTTGTGGAATAGGGATTATGCTATACAACCTAAACAATCGGAAATTGCTCTAGAATCTATATGGAACATTTCTCTAGATTTGAGGTTGATCCAACAAAAAATTATGTTTCGGGTAAATTGGACTGCGCAACTTCAGCACAGGAAGGCCCTGTTTAAGAACTATAGATGCTGGAGGCGAAATGTTGCAAATGCCTTGTTGTGGAATATGATGGTGAGCACATCCATGATGTATTCGTTTTGATCTGAAATAGTTGTCAATATAAATTATGTATTGCCAAAAAGTTTGATATTTGCAATGCCCATGTACTTTAAAAGTATATTCCTATAAGTATAGTAGTTAACAAGAGGTCAAATGTACATCTTATGTAAGCCCTTATGGTTGCCATAAACCTCAAAGGATATGTTATATCTCACCACCATGGCAACATTTTTATAGTGTCATGTGGATACCTATTTGGACACTTGGATTGACTTGTATGTTTTATTTTAGATAGGAAATATCGGTGGCCATTATATTCTCAGTGCAACCTGACATTGTTTACTGTCATTATTAACCTTTCTCTGTCCTTTTTCGTGTTAAAATTGACACTTAAAAAACAAATAATGAAAAAGACATTCCGGAAGTTTTGGATATTACCGTATTTTTCCGTCTATAAGAAGCCCCCATGTATAAGACACCCCCTATTTTGGGGGACTCAGATTTAAGCAAATGGGGGGAGACACTATCTGTGTATAAGACATGCCCTAATTTTTGACATTATTTTTTAGGGGGGGGGGGACCTAGTCTTATACACGAAAAAATACGGTACAACATTTCCAAAAGATTTATAGATAGTCTGCATTTTATTAAAAAGTCATGCAAGTTACAATATCTACAACAGGAGGAAAAATCAGGATGAGGTGAGCCAAGACCTTTAACAATTTTCAAGTGGTCCATGTGGGACCCCAGATTGTGAATTGTGGTGTTGTTCCTCATGCACAACTGCCTTTCCTGGGAGATGCAGATAGAGGTTTGTTGGTTTGAAAAGCCTGCAAGCTCAGCTGATCCCAGCAGGTGCCGCTGTTGAGCTGCTGAAAAGCAGGAATGAATGGGGCTCCTGTTTTTTTTCTTTTAAAAAAAAAATTCCTTGGGAAATGAAAAATGATCCTATGGTTTCGCACAAAGAAAATATGTGTGGGGTTTGTCTATATTTCAGAAGAAGCAACAGCGCGATAACAGGCTGCGGACACGAATGAAAATAGGCTTTGTGCTCAAATCCACAACGGGCCATAACTGGTGACATTGGGGTCCGAAGGAGGAGAATTTCAAATTCTTATTCTGAATTTGAATAATGGCTCATCAAAGCTCAGTCATGGAACTTGTTTGCAATGCCCCAGCTTCACCTTGGGAATCTGAAGAGATCTGCTCAAGAATGACTCTGGATATCATGCGCAGAGGGTCATAACTAGATAACTAAATAACCAATACAAAACCTATCCTATCAGCTTGTATGTTTTGCGGGGAGAGGCGCTGAACAGGACTTTTCAAAGAGGGTGACTCTAGCAGCAAGTGGAGCATGTTGCCCTTTATATGCTGATAAATTGCTAAGAGTTTTGGTTGAGGAACAGAAATAATAATGATAATGATGATAATAATAATAATAATTCTATTGTTATACGCGAGTGGCGCTGTGGGTAAAACCTCAATGCCTAGAACTTGCCGATCGTATGGTCGGCGGTTCGACTCCCCGCCACGGGGTGAGCTCCCGTCTTTCGGTCCCAGCTGCTGCCCACCTAGCAGTTCGAAAGCACCCCTAAGTGCAAGTAGATAAATAGGTACTGCTTTATAGCGGGAAGGTAAACAGCGTTTCCGTGTGCTGCTCTGGTGCAGGCTCGCCAGAGCAGCTTCGTCACGCTGGCCACGTGACCCGGAAGTGTCTCCGGACAGCGCTGGCTCCCGGCCTCTTAAGTGAGATGAGCGCACAACCCTAGAGTCGGACACGACTGGCCCATACGGGCAGGGGTACCTTTACCTTTACTTTACCCCATCCATCTGGCTAGGTTTTCCCCACCGTTCTGGGCAGCTTCCAGCAAAATATATAAAATAATAAAATGTCAGACGTTAAAAACTTCCCTTCAGATGTTTCCTAAAAGTTGTGTCATTCTTTATCTCCCTGACATCTACAGGGAGGGTGCCACTACCAAGAAGGCCTGGTTCCCTGTAACCTCTCTTCTCGCAGTGAGGGAACCGCCAGAAGGCCCTTGGAAGTGGATCTCAGTGTCCGGGCTGAATTGCCACTTTTCTCCTATAGGAGAGCTCCCAAGGTGGCGTGTGTACGTTTATTTATTTATTTATTTATTATTAAATTTTCTGTTTTAGAATTTAAGAGTATTCATTTAAACAACCTTAAAATATCGATGACTTCCCTTTCTTCTTTTTCCATGGTTCATTTTGCATAACATAAATCCCTACATATTTTATATAAACCAAACCATTCAGTATTCCATTATTACTTCCATCAAAATTCCATTATTACTTCCATCAAACTCTTTAAGCCCGACAGGCAGAAATTCCAACTTTTTAGCATAGAAACGCAGAATCGGTGATTGAAGCGTCACCTGTTGGATTTCTACCTGTCACGCCGCCGCTATTAACAGGCAAACCCACGTCTCCATTCGCGCAGGCGGAGGGAAGAAAAGAAAGGGTTAAAAGAGAGACAGGCGGGTTTCCTAGGCGCTGCGGTATTGGGCAACCCGCGGCATCTCCGCCACGTTCCACGCGCCCGGATTGGCTTTTTGAGCCCCGCGGCTTCCCCGATTGGCCCAAGAGCCGTCACGGTTCGGGCGAAGAGCAGCCTTACCCCCTTTTCACCTGATTGGCCGTCCCTTAACGAAGAAGCCCGATTGGGCGGGCGGAGGCGAGGCGGAGCTTCAGCGGCTCCGTTGTTCTCCGAACTCCGTCGCGCGCGAGGGTGGAGAGGCGGGCGGAGTTGGCGAGAGAGAGACGGGAGGGCCCCGCCTTTGCCTCGCTCCCATTGGCCGGCGTCCGTGCTTAAGCATTGGCTGAAGGGAGGAGAGGCTCCTGCGGCCCTATTGGCTGCCGGGGCTCGCGCACCGTTCTCTGCTCGCTCCCGTTCTCTGTCTCTTCGCTGGTGGGCGGGGCTCGCTTTCCCGGTGTTTGGCGGCGGCGGCCTGAGGTAAAGGGGGCGGGGGGGGGGCGGCGGTTGTGGAGACAGCGGCTGGGTCGTCGTCGGGGTAGGACGGGGCTCCCGGGCGCTGCCGCTTAATGGGGTCGATGGAGGGACAGGGGAGGCAGGGCTGAGGCGAGCGAATGGGCCGTTTCGCGAAAGGAGGGGGTGGGCTTCGAGGCAGGCCGTCGAGGGGGCGGCGGAGCGGAGCTGGTTTGTGAGGGAACGAAGGGCCTGCGCGGACGGTGAGGGCCTCTTTCCCGCAAAGCAGGGCGACCTGTGGAAGGACCGCGACAGTGCCTCTGAGCATGTCCAGAATGCATTTCCCTATGGCAATGAACGAGTAATGCGGGGAGGACCCCCAGCCCCGTCCCACAAACACACACACGTATTGGGGATTTAGCTTCCAGGCCGGAAGGGGGTTGTTCCCAGACGGACTGGAGCCGTGGCACTAGGGCTGCCATAAATCCGGATTTTCCCGGGAGTTCAAAGGCAGAATTGACGGCTGGGTTTCGTTTAAAAAACAACAACAACCCAACCACTGCAATTTCCTTTTTTTAAAAAAATCAACAATTTGGGGGGGGGGGTTCCTTAAAAAAGGCTCTACAATTTCTGTTGTTTCCTTTAAAAAAAAAGGACCAACAATGTTGGGGTCTTCCTAAAAGCTCAACAACTTTTAGGATGTCCTGGTTTTTACTTTTGGAAATAGTACCCTGTTTGGTACCACCCCTAAACAACAAGGCACTGGAATCATGGAGGCGGCGGGCAGCTGAGTGTGAAAAATAGGGACGCGAATGAGAGGAAGCGGTTCCCAAAGGGTGTGAGCAGCTTGCAGTAGTCGCTGGTTTTGCTCTTTGCTGCTGCAAAAGGTTTGCATCTGACCAGCAACCATTTGGGTGGTTGTTGGTTTTGGGGGTGTTTTTTTAAAGAACAGTCTCCTGAACAGAAGAGCAGCAGTAACCTTTCTCTTGAAGGAGCAGTGCTGAGGGAACAAAAGCTCAATAACTTTATAGCTTGAGTGTAGGTGGGAATGGGCCCAGTGCTTGGGGAGGGGAAGGGGAGACAGCTTGTGGGGGACAGGAAACTTAGGCTGAGTGAAGTTGAACAAAAAGTAAGGTTTTCCTAAGTGTGCAGAGAGCCTTGTTTGATTACAGTTTGTAGTGATTAATCATTTGCTGCTTTTGTTTGCCTATCATGTATGCAATTTATATTAAGTTATGTTGCAAGACTTCAGATTCAGTTGTATCTGAATATATGTATATATTTTTCCAGAAAGCTGCATTGCAAGCCTACAGTTCTGATAAGTAGTTAAACATTATGCAGGGAATTTGCTGTGTTGTAAGGCTGCCATACATCTGCATTTTCCCTGACATTACCAGGATTTCAAAGGTGGTATTGACTTCGGGGAATTTCTGAAAGACGGCACTTTGTCCTGGATCATAGGCAAGTCAATTGAAAAGTCACATTTTGTGGGAAAAAGGGGGGGGGGGAGCTCACATCCAGGGTGTCCTGGTTTTTACCTTTGAAAATATGGCAACCCTACTGTGCTGGGACCTGAGTTTGAATAGCCTAGTTGGAATCAGGTGGCTTTTGAGGAGTCATTCTAAATTTTTGGTTACCTACCTCGTAGGGCAATTGTTAGGCTTGTAGCTTGGTTCTAATTGTGTTGTGTTGGGCTAGGCTTGTAGCGTGGTTCTAATTGTGTTCGTGTTCCATTGATTTCAGTGGAATTAACTTCTCAGGGTGCTTAGAAACAACACGGGTATAATGCTGCACAATTAAAGAGCTGTGTAAATGATGGTATAGGTAAGCCAGTCTTTCGGATAAGCCCACAGAAGTTAACTAGCCTGTTGGGCCCTAACATAGGATTAAGAGCTCTGTCCCTACTCCAGCAGCCCACTGCATCTCTGTGCTAGATTAGGGCTTTTATGAAGCGTAGTTGGCATTCAAGCCTACAATTCTCACATGCAATCTGACACTCCATTCTAGGGATCTTCTGACATTGAGACCTGGATGCATTCCAGAGTTTGTTACCCCAAGAATTTACACAGACCACTGAAATAAATAAAAAATAATCTCTATTTACTTATTGATAACTGTAAGGAGCAGGGAAAGGAGGAAGTGACCATATATTGGTTTAACACTTCCAGAAGGAGTCTGATTCTCTTTTATTTACTATTAATGTTATAAATGATAAGGGAGGAATGGCAGAGATTTACATTGAAAAGAGACCATGAATTTAGCAGATGCTCTTGCAGCTCAGCTTGTTTGGAACATGTGAGCATGGCATTCTGTAATGAGTTCTCCCTTGAGGCCTCTCCAGGCCAGAACTGAAACTTCTTTCTGAGGTACAAGCTGTCATAGCAAAAGCTGAATGTTTTCAGGGGTGCTTCATATGAAGGGGAGGAACTTCTGTCCTCTAGCAACCCACCTGATTTCTATATTGGGCACAGAAGAGGGACAGAGCACTCCATCTCTCTTGCAGCCCACACACTCACCTGCATGCAGTTCCTTGTTGCCTGTGCCTATTAGGCTTGTACTTTAAATACAAGGCTGAGATGAATCTCAAATTCTAAAGTGTAACTTAAAGTAGAAACCAATGAATAGTTACTTAAACTTCTTGAATTCTTCAGTGTGGTTTTAATACAGAGGCTTGTACTTCTCTACCTTGCTTAGAAAGACATGGGGTAAACATATTTGTTTGCTAGGGCATTTCCTATTTGTGTAATAAACCTAGTATATTGCGAACTGTGTGTGTTTGTGAGAATACCTGTAAGTTACAAATTATGCCCCTTGCAAAGATTCATGTATGTGATCAACAAGATTAAAATAGCTTGGTAAGGGACTATTGTACTCAAAAGCCAATTAGCCAGCTGCTCCTGCATAATATAGATGTTGTTCAAATGTGGAGTGGAAGAAGATCTCCCTTTGCTTGAAATCACAAAATGAAAAAAGATTCTTACAGGTAATAGATCTTCTGTAGAGCAGCATTTCTCAGCCTCTTGGTTGTGAAGCATGTGCAAGTGGGTCATGGGCTTTATAAGCAAACCCAAAATCATTATTGCATTTAATTTACAATTAAGTCTTAAATGAATTGTTGCCCATCTGCAGTAGCAGAGCACCCTCCTTTGCCCATGCACCAACTTCTGGAGCCCAAAATGCAAACATTTTTGCCAGACATCAGGACTGACTGTCAGCAGGCACTCTCACCCAGCTGGAGAGACATTATACCGTATTTTTCGTTCCATAGGACGCTCCGTCCCATAGGACGCACCTACTTTTTGGGGGGGGGAAATAAAGGAAAAAATTTTTTACTTTATTTCCCCCAAACCAGGTCGAGGAACAGTGGGATGGCGGCGCTGCGCCTCCCCGTTGTCCCCCGAGCTTGTGGGGCTGGCCATGTCTGCCCGGCGTGAGGGGCGCTCTGCTTCAGGGCGCCCCACGCGCCGGGCGGCAGGCTGCAGACACCTGCGCGAAGCACGGGACGTCCTCCGAGGGCGCCCCGTGCTCCGCGCTGCAGGCTGCCGCCCGCAAGCCGTGCGCGCCCAGGGGGGATCTCCCCCCGGGCGCGCGAGGCTTGCAGACACCAGCACGAAGCACGGGGCGTCCTCCGAGGGCGCCCCGTGCTCCGCGCTGCAGGCTGCTGCCCGCAAGCCTTGAGCTCCCGGGAGATCCCCGGGCGCGCAAGGCTTGCCGACACCTGCGCGAAGCACGGGACGTCCTCCGGAGGGCGCCCCGTGCTCCGCGCTGCAGGCTGCCGCCCGCAAGCCTTGCGCTCCAGGGGGGAGATCCCCCGGGTGCGCAAGGCTTGCCGACACCTGCGCGAAGCACGGGACGTCCTCCGAGGGCGCCCCGTGCTCCGCGCTGCAGGCTGCGGCCCGCAAGCCGTGCGCTCCCCGGGGGCCATCCCCCCGGCGCGCCAGGGATGCCGGCCCCAGCGCGAAGCACGGGGCGTCCTCCGGTGGGCGCCCCGTGCTCCGCGCTGCAGGCTGCCGCCCGCAAGCCGTGCGCTCCCGGGGGGGAGTTCCCCCCGGTGCGCAAGGCTTGCGGACACCTGCACGAAGCACGGGGCGTCCTCCGGAGGGCGCCCCGTGCTCCGCGCTGCAGGCTCCCGCCTGCAAGCCTTGCGCTCCCGGGAGATCCCGGGTGCGCAAGGCTTGCGGACACCTGCGCGAGCACGGGACGTCCTCCGAGGGCGCCCCGTGCTCCGCGCTGCAGGCTGCCGCCCGCAAGCCTTGCGCTCCCGGGGAGATCCCGGGTGCGCAAGGCTTGCCGACACCTGCGCGAGGCACGGGCGTCCTCCGAAGGGCGCCCCGTGCTCCGCGCTGCAGGCTGCCGCCCGCAAGCCTTGCGCTTCCGGGGGAGATCCCCGGGTGCGCAAGGCTTGCGGACACCTGCGCGAGCACGGGGCATCCTCCGGAGGGCGCCCCGTGCTCCGCGCTGCAGGCTGCTGCCCGCAAGCCTTGAGTGCCCAGGGAACTCCCCGGGTGCGCAAGGCTTGCAGATAGCTCCTGGAGCCTGAAGAGCGAGAGGTGTCGGTGCGCACCGACGCCTCTCGCTCTCCAGGCTTCAGCGAAAGCCTGCATTCGCTCCATAGGACGCACACACATTTCCCCTTCATTTTTGGAGGGGAAAAAGTGCGTCCTATGGAGCGAAAAATACGGTAACTCCTGGGTGTGTCCACAGCTCCATCCCCTGCAACCCTTTCCTTGTCAGAGGGCTCTGAGATGGAGGTGCAGGGAGGGCCTTTGAAAGGCTGGTATGGGAGAGGAGGAGAGATGTCAGGGGTTGTTGGGTGTTTGTGTGTGAGATGGTGTAGTCTCTCAGCCCACCTGAGCTGGAGGAGTTATGTTTTTGTCCATCAGACAAACTTGCAGAATGAACTGCCAGTTTTCTTGATGTACTGGTCATTGGAATAAAAAACCCTACAGTACACAATTATTACTATTATTATTTTACATTTCACAAGTGTAGGCAAAAAAGCTTGAAAATAAATACCTGTTTAGGATTGCAGTCTATGAGTGCTATGGTCCTCTGTATACTTCCCTGTGAGTAATTCCAGTTGAACTCAAGGGAACTTACTTCTGAGTAGATATTAGTATAGGATTGCACTGCAAAACTGCCATCCTAAAGACACAGCACAGTCCTAACCATGTCATCTCAGAATTAAGCCCTGTTCAATACAGTGGCACTTTTAGATAAGTGCAGTCAGGTTCCCATCCTTACTGAGAAATGCATCTTACCGAAAACTGTGAGATACCTTCTAACTGAACATAATATGTAGGATTATGCTGCAGGTCTGCAATCCTATGCACAGTTACCTGGAAGTAAGTCCCATTTAATCTACTTTGACATAAAATCAAGCTTAAAGGTGGTGCTTAAATATTCCAATGCAATTGATTTGTGGATTGCACCATTTAAATGTGTCCCCAGGATTGAATGACTAGGGTTACTATACCACTGGGCATAGCTGTTGAGCAGATTAAACGCTTGTAATCTGATTTTACTGGTTTTATTAGAAAAGAGCTTGCTACTTTTAAATTGTTCTCATTGATTGATTATATTCATTGCATATACAAAACTGAGTAAGTCTATAAGTATTATAAATATTTTAGCAAATTCTGCATTAATGGGTGTGTAAGTAAATTTTTGCTTGGATACCTCATATAATGGTTATAAAATAGGCAAAACTAATGATTGCAGAAGACCCAAGTTTCAAAATTCTTGTAACAACAAATCAATGGATCACCATATCAAGTAAATCTGGATTTGTGGGTTGCCATACCAAAAAGGTTGGGAACCACTGCTCTCTTCTGAAGTGTGTGTATTGTGATGTTAGGAGTCTTGCTAATAGATTTAGTGTAAAATGTAGGCAGAACTATTGACTTGACCCGCCAACTGCATAAATGAACTTGCCACAGAATGCTTTAGAATGATTTCAGATTTGTTTGTAATTACTCTTCAGTAGAAACCTAAAACTATTGTCCTACAACTCTTACCTTACTCTATTTTATCAACACTTGACTTTCCTTCTCGCAAAGACAGTGCCATGGAATGCTTCAGACAAATCAGCATGGAAGATAGTGTAGCAAACTTTTCAATGATCAGATAGGTGGTATAAGTTAAATGTAAGCACAGTTCAGAGGACAGTGCAATAGTTCTGCTCAGGTATTTGTTTACTGATGGGAAGGGAGAAAATCACATTTTTTAAAAGTCTGTCTTTTCTAACTTGTTATTAAAATAGATTCACTGAGTGGACTTTATTTTTCTGGAGTGTGAAGAAAAGACCCACAGTTCTCCACCTCTTTTTTTCATTCTGTGTAGCTTTTTATACTTGTTTTACACTCATTTGAAGAGTTAGTTGAAAGCGGCTCACATACGATATCCTTGCAGACTTGTACTATCTGCACATGCTTGGAGCTAGACCTCCTTATTTCAGCAATAGAATTGTCATTTATCTTCCATACTTCCACTAAGCTATTTCATCTGATAGAGAAGGCCAGTATTTTCTTTCATTAATGTTAGGTCAGAGTTGTGAATTGCGACTCACCCAGTTGCATGTGGCAAGAAATAATTACTTCCAGATGACCAAATGTCAATCCTTTTCTTTTGGGGCCAAATACAACTTAAAATAGGTGCTTACAAAACTGTCTAGCTAGTAAGCAAATGTCATTATAGGTTTGTTTTTTTAAATAAAAGCACGTAGACACTTCAGTTATAATCAGCACACTATATGGCTGACAACCTTTGGTATCTGGCCACATTCAGAAGTGCTTTTAGCTATTCTTTTTGCTGCTTCTGAATTTTGTGCTCCCTGATCGCTTGTGTATTGTTCTGCAATCAGAAACACGTTCCTTCAAATGCCATTTTGGTGTGTTTGGCTCAAAGGTAAAATATTTCTCATCTGTTTCTTTGTCTTAGCTTAGCTGCTGTAGATTTAGATTTCTTCTTTTCCAGGTTCTGTTTCTTTAAGATTTAAATACATTATTTTCTGACATTTTAAGTGTGCTTATTTCACAACTGTCTCTTGCATAAATATAACAAATGTACCCAACATTGCTCTTACATTTCACACTTTGGTAATGTGCACTCCTGCATTTTTAATCTGAGATTTATGACTTAATCTGAGGCTTTTTTTTTGAGTTTGAGGGAAGATTGATGGGATCCACAAATGTGCTTGCTAGTGGTGACCATATCTTTTTATCAAGTGAGGACAGCGTGGACAAAGTCTGGGGGTTAATCCCTGGAGTTGTGCTGAGCTGAGGCACTCGGAAAGCAGTATTCTTTATTTACCATTGGCCTAAATTTGCTAGCTTCTTTCTGAAAGTTTTTAACTCTAAACTTGAGGTCTCTTTCAAGGGAAAGCAGGATAAAACTGTTTTCAATAAATAAAGTAAACTTATTTCCTGTTCCACCACAAGGCAGAGCAATTATATTTCACAGGATTAGTTAAACATCTGGCTACCATCTTCTTGTATGAATATATACACACATATAGTGAATGAATTTGTGCTCCACTGTTTCAAATAAAAACAAAAGAGCCCTGCTGGATCAGGCTAAAGGCCCATGTAGTCCAGCAACCTGTCCCCACAGTGGTTAGCCAGATGCCTATGGAAAGCCCACACGTAGGTTGTGATCCCTGGCAGCTTAGAGGCATGACACAGCTGATAGTGGATGTAGATATAGCCATTGTGGCTAGTAGACATAGGTAGCCTTATCCTTTATGATCTGGCTAATGGTCTTTTAAAGCCATCTAATTTGGTGGAGGGTCACTACATTTTGTGTGAGTGAATTCCATAGTTTAGCCGTGAGCTGTGTGAAGGACTTCACTTTGCAAAATCATTTATAAAGCTTTTTCCCCAAAAACTTACTTGTCTGTTTTTGTGGATGTGTTTTCATTAAAGAGTACAGCAGAGTAAAATCCAACATAGCCATAAATTGTGAAACCATGCTTACCTACAGACATGGTAGATGTAAACTGCACGCTACTAATTTGATAGAAATGCTTCGTCTTGCTCTAAGACCTGTTGTTTTCAGTTAGGAGTTAAGCACATTCTTACATTTTTCTCATGAAATCAGCTGGACTAAAAAAGCACTTTGCTATGGTTGGACCGGGCTCCAAAATTAGGAAGTGTTTTGCATGTGAAGTTCTGTGTAGTTTGGGCTGGATGTAGCCTTCCTGTTTGACAGAAATAGCTGTATAGTTACAGTCAAATAATCTGCAAAGAGCCCCTGATGAGTGTTAAAACGGGCATTTGGGAGCTGCTTCACAGGATATTAGCTACAGCCCTGTCTCTCCAAGTGCGATAATGCACTGTATGTAAGGGTCTGCTGATAATCAGGAAGTCTCTGCCGTGTGTACCTGTTTAAAATAAGTGTAGCAGTACTGTATGTCCAAAAGTGAGTGTGGCCACACCATACACTTGCACGCACGCATGCACCCACAGGCTGAGCTGGACTGTATAGATCAGCTGAGGAGGGTGGTTATTGTCCCCCTGCCTTCTCATTAAGTGATCAATCTGGTGATGAGGGAGGGGCAGCTTGCATCCCCATGAGGCACTGGGCTGAGCAGAGAGGTTTAAACTTCTCCCCCACCACAGTGCTATGCATACTATTTTTCTTTTTGATGCCACTGCCAAAATTGGTGGGGTCAGAACATTTTTTCACTGGGCTAGATCAGGTCTCAAGGCCCAGTTTAACCACTCCTGATTTATATCATAATCCTTAGGCTTTGTCCATGCCTCCCCTTTTCTCCTATGCTTCCTAGTCTTTCCCACTGTTGATATTTGAATTGTAAGGTGGTTTACAGTGGGGTTTTGCCTCTCTCTTTTTTGCCTTTGAAGCTTTGTGAAGCATCAAAACTATAGCTAGCATTGTATTAAATAATAAAATCCATTATATGGAAGAAAATCTATAGGAATTGAAGGCTGAGCTCACGACCACTTAGAATATAGCTGGGTGCTTCTTGTTAGTGCTCAGAATACAACTCTTAGTTCAAACTGGTTTGTTGGAATTGTTCACGCTGTGCGGAAGATTTACCGGTAGATTTGCATGTTGCCACTTCGCCTATTTCCAAAATGTTGGCTTGAAATGTGGCATCTGAACGTAGAAAACCGAGAGCATGGTTGGCTTCTGGCAGGATTATGACTGCTAAGAGAGTGGCTGTGTGAAGCATCCCTTGCTTGCTACTTTGTTCCAGGGCATGTGCATTCTTACAGCAATTAACAGGTCAAGTTAGGAAAAACTACTATGCTTATATGTTCCCTTTAAAGCACAGCTTGCTCTTTGTTAAAAGTGTAACTAAAAATTTAATCACTTGTGGCTTCAATCCGCAGGTTCAATTTCTCCATGTAGAGGATACTCGTGACTTGTGAGGCAAGCCACCATTTAGATTTCAACTGTTGGATCATGGTGTGATCTGCAGTAGTTGGGTGCATGTTGCTCTTGCACCTGTATAATTGGCTTCTTTGGATTGAAGCTTAATACGTTCATGTGGTACACAGGACAGAGCTGTTGGTTAGTGGGGAAATGTATCACAACTGGAAGAATTGCCAATCTAACTTCTTAGTGCCTTAAATAGGGCAACTACCTTTGTCTCAGTTGTCTTCTGCTCTTCTTTAAGAATGAGTATAAATAGTGAGAAACTGGTGGATGGTGATGAGAACCAGGGTTAGCAATTCTGTAATATATATTTGTGTGCAAAAAGCGTGGTCATGATACATTAGTGAAAGTTCATATTTAAGCCTACCTAGTACAGTCCTGCATTGGAGGGTATCAATAAAAGCACCTTTTGACTACTACTTCATGTTTATCAGTCTTAAATATGATTTTTGTGTGCATGTTTGTGCATGTGCGTTCCCCCCCTGCCCCCATTTGAAAAACTCAAGTTCTTCTAGAATACAGACAGATGTTCTTGGATTCCAACTCTGATCTTCCATGACCATTGGCCATGCTGACTGGGGCTGATAGAATTTGAAGTCCAACAACACTTAGAGCCTCACTTTCCCATTCCTAGTGACCTGTACCCGTTTTTGTATTATCAGTGTAGGCACTATTGCTTTCCAGTTCATATGATGCTATGCATGACAAAGTTAATTACTGGTTCTGGTAGGTTACATTACCTTAAGATGACAACTGCAAAAGGGCATTTTTCTAGACATCCTATATCAGAGGACATCTAGAAGGATTATTATTATTTTGCAATATGAAGTGTTTACAATTAGGAGAAAAATGAGCAGCTGCTACTTCAATTACATACTACTACTCTGTTGCACTGTGTTGCTGAACCTTTAGGGAGTGCGCAGTTCCAGGACTTCTCTCCCATTCTTTTAAGTCTAACCCTTAGAAAATAACATTTTTTAAAAATACTGAAACTTGAAGTGCTGCTTCTGCTAATGAATTTTGAACAATCCTGATGTCTTTATAGTTTCAAAGTTTGTTTTACCAGAATGCAATAACTGCAGTTCTGGAACTGCAAGCTGTTTCAAATGCAGGGCAAAGTCTACCCGAAACTTTACAGAGTATCTTGATGGCTTTTTGTTGACCCCTTGTTCTGCAGTTCACTTTAAGCAACATGAATTGAATTCAGGTTTAAAAAAAAACAACTATTGAAGAATGCATTTTACAGACCACAATATGTCTGCCAGACTAATAAATCAAACTCTTGTATGTTTGCTTTTTCAGAATCTGAAAAACAGCAATATGAACTGCTGTGCTTGTGCTTCTTGACAGAAGGTGATGCTAAGAGGAAAAATCTGCAGTGATCAACAGGTTGTCCAAGAAGGTTTTTGACAACTCGTCTGTTGCCTTGGAAGCTGGAGGATTGCTGTCCCCAAGCAGATATTTGCCATTTCCTGCCTTGATGCAAAGCAGCACTTGAATTAAACCTGCCACTCTCTGTTCCTTGAGGAAACAGATTCTTATTGCTGTGTAACTGAACACTAAATACAGGGAACCTATTATGTCTAAGAGGCAAAACCAAAAAGGTAAGATTTACGATACTAGACGGGCATATATAGTAAGGAGTGTTGTGTTACAGGCAAATGTCAAGTATGAATTTTTGTTCCTGCCATTTTAGTCCACAGTAGAAGATAATTACTCTAGATCGGCTATTCTCAAGTTGCCTCCCTAGTAAGAAAACACTCAGTGTCTTCCAAAATGTGAAATGAATCCTAATAATGTGTTCCTTCACATCCCTTCCCTTCTTAACCCAAAGGAAGACAGCCCAGCAGCCTTTTGGCTTCCTGGTGTTGGAAATCAAGCAAACAAGGAGCATGAGAAAACAGGGTCGCTTCATGGTTCTCGGTACTTAACAATGAGCAAGGTGTAATGAGGCAAATGGTCTCCTATGGTAATGGGTTGATATTCTGCCCCTTGACCCATTTGAGAGACACACACATTTCTGATCTGTCGAGGAAAAGCTGGTGTCTTTTCTAGGATCTGCCTCTGCCTTCCCAGGGAGTCTTATGTGCCTCTGAGAACCACTGGTACAAGGATCATATGTCTCTTTCAAATCTGGTGTCGTTTGTGGCAGTTTATGTGTGCTGGTCCCGTGGGTTACCCGAGAGGTGAGGTCCCAGTCCGGTCCATGGTTGAAGGTGCACCGTGGAGGCAGTCCGTAGTAGCTGAAGCTGGGTGCAGGGCAGGGAGTCAGGAACAGGTATGCAAGCAGAGAGCCAGGGCGGGTCAGGAGCTCTGGCAGAAAAGCATGACAGGGTTCAGGCAGGAACTAGCAACCAACAATGTTGCTCCTGCAACTTGGGACTGGGGCTGGCCGGCTTTTATCTGCCCCGAGGCATAGGGTGGCACCGATCCTCTGGTGACTTGCCTCTCCTGGCCTGGAGGCGAGCACTCCTCCTGCGGGAACTTAGTTCCTTATGCCTCTCTGCCCTGAGCCTCTGCAGCTCAGGAGAGGCTGGAGGGTTACCGGACCCAGAGGCAACCTCAGCTTCCTCTGATGGGGCTGAGAGTGGAGCACCTGCAGGCAATGGGTCCTCCATCACCTCAGGAGTCAGAGCAGGCTCAGCTGATGCCTGCACCTGAGGATCCAGCACAGGTGAGGACCCTTCAGGCTCAGGCCCCAGCCCCGGCTCAGCTGGTTCTGGAGGCGGGGAATTCCTTGCAGGTTGGGATCCCTCATGTTTAGCATCCGAGTCCAAAGCCCAGGCCATTGCATTATGTCACAGAGGATTAACAATTTGTATGAAGGAAAATTTCACATTGTTTAATTTGCAAAGTCTTGAGTCCTTGAATACAAGGGACTTGTTAAATGGGTCTCTTAGGGCAGAACTAGATGTGGCTCCTCCTGAAAATGGTAGCTGCCTCCCAACTAGCGCCCCACTCCTCACGGTAACATCCAGCAAAACTTAACTGTATTCTGATGTCACAATGTTGTACATTTCCCTGAACACCCCTAGCAGCAGCAAATAATATAAAGTAGCAAAACACATCATTACATGATATTGGGAGACAGGTAAGTTTTACTACATGTTATAAAGGAGAGAGTTAACATACACCTCGGGTTTCTGTCAACAGCTGTAGATTTGCCAGTTCTTTCTGGCTTGGAGTTGTGCTTTTCCTGTATGCGTCAGGTTTTATTTATTAAAAGCTTTGTATGTCACAGTTTTATCTAAAAGATCTGGGATAGCTAACAGTCCAATAGCAATAAAACTAATAATACAAAGTAACAGAGCAAATATTTTAAAATGGACAGTGCACAACAGGAAACAACTAATTAAATTCAGCAGCAGGAAACAGTGGAAACAGAAAACAAAAGTGCTAAACTTTGAATTCTAAGGTTCTCTTAAGAAAAGCACTGCCTTTGGCATGAATATCAGCAGAAAAGGATGGAAAGCTCTTCTGCTGGAGAGTAGTGCAGATACGGTGCCACTGTCAAGAAGGCTTTGTCTTTGGTAGCTCTCCATCATAACCATTCACGATTTCAGATGGCCTTGCAGCAGGTATTCTGAGAAAGACATCAGCCATTATTAAGATGCCAGTAGGCTCCCCTGAAACAACATGACTTGGAACTTGTGCCTTTATTTGTAACTTAGCCCTTTGGGGCTGACCTCTTCCATGACAGTTTCTTCATGGAAGACTACACTGATGTACATGCCTTGTAGTCTTTTTCACCATTGAACACAACTTGTGAGCAACATGGCACACCTTTGACATGGCTAGTTCTGAATTTAAACCTTAATTCTGCTAGTGTTGATCCGCAACCCATTTTCAAGTTCCTGATCTTTATTGGTTGACTTCATTTTCTTTGATTGCTTGGATTATTAAGAAAACGTTGCTGACAAAAGAACTCTCCTGCATTTGCAGCAATCCTAGTGTGCAGCAAGGGACGCGGGTGGCGCTGTGGGTTAAACCGTAGAGCCTAGGACTTGCCGATCAGAAGGTCGGCGGTTCGAATCCCCGCGACGGGGTGAGCTCCTGTTGCTCGGTCCCTGCTCCTGCCAACCTAGCAGTTTGAAAGCACATCAAAGTGCAAGTAGATAAATAGGTACCGCTCCGGCGGGAAGGTAAACGGCGTTTCCGTGTGCTGCTCTGGTTCGCTAGAAGCGGCTTAGTCATGCTGGCCACATGACCCGGAAGCTGTATGCTGGCTCTCTTGGCCAATAAAGTGAGATGAGCGCCACAACCCTAGAGTTGGCCACGACTGGACCTAATGGTCAGGGGTCCCTTTACCTTTACCTAGTGTGCAGCACAGTGAGGCCTGCCTGTTGCTGTAACCCCACCACAAACACAAGACCCAAACTGGAGAAATTCTTACAACCTCATGCAGTATTTACGTTCTATACACTCTGTTACCATAAACAATGAAATACTGGTAAAAGTCTTTTTCAGCACCAGGTATTTTTCAAGTTCATATAAAGCCAGTTTCTAGTTGCTTATTTGTTAGATTCCAGCTTGAGTTGTTGCCGAGCATGAATCCCCAACTTTAGTGTAATTCAAATTGCTTGCAAATTGATATTTCACTCTTCAGTATCTCACTGTATGACACACCTAACCAATTCCAGTTTAAATATCTCCTAATAGGTTCTTATGGCAATCTCAGACTGTCAGAACACTTTCCCTTTCACTTCACCAGCCTAAGAAATGAGTAAGCACAGCTTCAGATTTCTCAGTTTATATCACTCCCCTAACAAGACAATACCAGTTTTTAAATAACTATTATTTCAATTGAAAACACGCTACATTCAGCTGACTGTTCTCATTATAAATCAAACTTCACATTTAAGCAACTAGGTGTTAATGTCTGCAATGCAAAAAAACACTCCAAGTTGAGAAAGTAGAATGGTAGTGGGGTCTTTCTTTTCTCTTTTTTAAAAAAGATGTGTGTACTTCAGGTGTATGAACGTGTTCCTAAAATGTTAATGGAGCCTCAAGCATTTTGTTCTAACCTTGCTCTTGTGTTCACCGATCAGTAATTCTTCAAGCTCTACTTGTTTGCCCTACATACACATTATCTGACATGTAGTCTCTTGAAATAATTTTTTTTCTATCTGGGATCAGTTTGTTTGTTTTTAACTGTAAGGATTGTGCACAAGAACACTTTCCACACTTAATACTGCCCACTTGCAATAGAGGGTATCAACTATATTGGAATGAGCTATTTTGTCTTTTATATTAAACAATTGGTGGTGTAACAGGCAAATCCTGGACTATCTCTTACCAGTTGCCAGTGTTTCAACACACTGCATTCTATGGAAAAAGGCATTCTATTCTATTCCATTTGTGAACCAACTTTTATCTTGAAGCAGTTCACTTCTATGATACATCTTTGCTCTGTATTTTGCTCTTCTGATAACAGCCTGAGGATAACCTCTTTACATACTACACTGATGTTACAAATCTGAACAAGTACAATTTTAGTCTTAGAAACTGTGCAGATGGTAAATCGCTTCTGAAATGAACTGAATGATTCTATAATGTAAAATAGTATTCTGATCAATAGGTTTGCTGTAGTTTGTCTATTCCACTTAAAAGTTATTATATGGTATTTCTTGTAACCCTGTGTGATTTTGTGAACCTCGTGTGAGGATCAACTGTATCCATAGGAAAAAAGTCATCCACTGCACAATCTAGATAAGCAATAATGTAAATATCAATATATATGCCATAATATAACAAATATATAGGGATTTCTTTCTTGGAAATGACTTAGTTTGAACCAAGTGCTCCATATACAAGTTAGAAATATTAAAAGCAACTGGACTCCCCAGAATAACTAAATGGTAATAAAGTTTCTCCCAGGTCTTTGGCTAATTAAGCAATCTGTGACCTTTACAACCGGGGGGGTGGGTGGGTGTTATTGTTTTGTTTGCTACTATGTTAGGTATTTTTGTGTTTTTATGTTGTGAACTGCCCTGTGATCCTCAGAAGAAGGGAAGTGTGGGAATTTAAAAATAACTACATGAATGAATGAGTCTTGCTGCTGTGCCGTAATGCCAGTATATCTGAGAACCCCTCACCAAAGTAGCTGAATATGGTCTCTGTATGCCAAACTTCTGGAACAGAGATTACATAATTGACTGGACATTCCTTATTCCAGCTGCTAAATTGTTATGAGAAGTACTACTCACACTGTGGAAAAAGAGTTCTTACCCACCCCACCCCCAAAAAATTCCTAGAGCAGACACTTTGTTCCAGACTACGTTATGTTCCACGGTATAAATGCTTAATTACAGTTGCATTAATAGTCTGTGCTGTAATGTCTGGAAACAAGAGGCATGGAAGGAAGGGTTATACTTTTATCATAGTCTTGGGTTACTAGCTTACAGGAATTATTTGTATTTTTTGAATTGCATCTGTTTACCCAGACAAAAAGCTTGTGGGAAACTAAGACCAATGCTGTTAAGCTACGTAATCAATTAACAGTGACATATATGTATTGGAGAGTAAGGAAGGTGGGTGGGACAAGACACTGTATTCTAGCTATATTGTTGTTTTTAAATTCTAGTAGCTTTCACCCTTGTCTAGTGAATTATTGAAGTCTCTGCAAAAGCAAGAATGGGAAACCCCCGATAACGCACTTTCTGGCACCAGAACTGGAAAATTGTTCTTGTTAAAAAAGGCATTGGTGTTATACAGCCATAAACTCTGCTCAGGACAGCCCAGCTTTTAATGTAAGGCGTGCCACCTTTAGGTTATACAAGAGTTTGAGCAGCTTGGTGCCTGGGATTTTTTTCCAGGCTTGTCAGCAGCACTGTGAAGACCAGTCTTCTTCAGATGTACCTGACATACAGGCATTGCCTTACACAGGAGAATCTGGGCTCATTCTTTCTCCCCTTCTTTCCACTTAAAAGTACTGATGAGAATGTTTCATTCTGCTTCCTCCTTTTCTTACAATAAAGGGGAAAAGATGCCGTATTTTTTGCTCTATAAGACGCACCAGACCATAAGACGCACCTAGTTTTTGGAGGAGGAAAACAAGAAAAAAAATATTCTGAATCTCAGAAGCCAGAACAACAAGAGGGATCACTGCGCAGCGAAAGTAGCGATCCCTCTTGCTGTTCTGGCTTCTGGGATAGCTGCGCAGCCTGCATTCGCTCCATAAGACGCACACACATTTCCCCTTACTTTTTAGGAGGGAAAAAGTGAGTCTTATAGAGCAAAAAATACGGTACATCTTTGTATCTGAAGCAATGGTATTATGTATAGGGCTGTGCAGTGCATTTTTTCTTTAAAAAATGTTTAGGAGTGCTACTCTCATTTTGACTCAAGAAAATCATTTTATCGTTCAAATCGGGGAAAATAAATACAGTAAATGGACAAAAGTACAAAGATTCACAAAATGTTTAGGGGTATGTGTACCCCTGCGTACCCCTAGGGGAAAAAGTACTGGAGCTATGACTGCCTGAATCAATCCAGCTTAGCTAGTGTGGATCAGCGAAGATTCAGGCTTGCTTCAAACATTGCACACTTCCAAACAGCGGCCACTGTCATGTAGTGCATATAATTTTGCCCACCTTTATTTTATTATTGCAATTTATCATGCCTTTATTTCACCATCTGTATATGAACTGGGAAGCTGCAGTAAGGAAAACATGTGGCAGTGACAATAAATCCTGTTTAATCTTTGCCCAGGCATAAAACAGTTGAGAACTGTATCTCTGTGTAGTGTTTAGTAGTTGAAACATCTGGTTTCTTTTTCCTTTCTCATTGCACAAGAACTAAATATTTTTAAATGAAGTCATAAAAGCAGAGTGATTTAACTGCCAGTTTTCAGTGGAAAAGAAGCCTAGTTTAATATTGTTGAAAATAATATTGCATCTTCACTGAAGATACACAAAGAAAATCCATTTTTCTGGACCTAGTTTGGTGAAAACCTGACATTACAGAACTCCTCAAGCTACAGCTCTTAAAATTTAGCTAAGTTGTATTTGGAGTAAACCCTTTGAAATCAAGAGATTTACTAAAATCAGTCCACTTCATTTTAGTGGGTCTATGCTGAGTATGACTTAGTAGTTCAGAGCAGTCTTCCCCAGCTGTTCTTTCATTCCCGCCACCCTCACAGGCATGCTTGGTAGGCACACAGGAGAGGGCCTTTTCAGTGGCTGCTCCCAGACTTTGGAAATCCCTTCCTATAAAAACTATACTGGCTCCCTCCTTATTGCCCTTCTGCCAGCAAGGGTAGGCTTCCTTGTTCCAACAGGCTTATGGGAGTTCACTGCTTTTTATGAAAGCTCTGGTGCTGTGCTATTTTTATTGTAATTATTGGTATGGTTTTAATAGATGTTATGTATGTATGTAGTTTTAGTCCTGTTGATGTTCAATTGTTTTTTTCTATGTTTTTAGCAGTTCTTATTTTTACCTGCAAGTCTCCTTGAGTCCCATCAGGCAGGCACACACACACACACACACACACACACACCCCTACCCCTATCTCTGGTGCCCTCCACATGCTTTGGACTTAAATTCCCATCAGCTCTAGCCAGGAAGCCTATGCTGGCTGGATCTGCAGGGAGTTATAGTACAAATAATCTGGAGGGAACTAAGTTGGAGAAGGCTGGTTTAGTGTTTTGTCTAGATATGGGCAATACATTGGGTCTGTCTCTCAAAAAAAAATTGAAGTATATTTAGTTGCATCTTCTGCCTCTAATGTCTGAAACGTGGGTGTTCATCTACCTCTTCAATAAAATGAATAAGATACTGTAATATTTTGTGGTAAAACCTAAAATACCTGGTTCAGAGGAGTTGGGAACAAATCCAATTAAAATTATGTTAAAGAAGAACAATAAGTATTCGGGTTACTTTGCTGTTCCACCCCTAAATTGATCCCACTGCTTTCAGACTGAGATCAGTTGTAAGTGAGGTTCCTTGGTGAGATGCTTACAAAATTCTAGCAGCTGACTTTTCAAATAGGAATTCTCTAGATTTTGTGCTAATCTCACTGGTGCAAAGGGAATTCCACCCTCTCATGCCCTCAGGTGCCCCTGAGGACCCCCCATCAGCTCAGGGGGACTGAGAGAACCCCCAGAACAGCACATAGCAGGAGGTGAGGGGAGATTGTTCCATCTGGCAAGCTGAAATGCTTGCACTGACAGAATGATCATCTTAGCGTGATGTTGAATTCTGTGTCTTTTCGGGGGAACTTAATTGGAATATGATAAGCCACTATTGAAAGAGGGGCTCAAAACCTGTCATAGCATTAGATTACAGTATATTGAATAGCGTTCTGGGCTTGGATTGGAAAAACCTTGGCTCAGATCCCATCTCAGCCCTAACGCCTGCTTGATAGCATAGTTTGCAAGTCACTGTCTCTTAGCCCTAAGTATCTTAGCCTATCTGCAGAGGGTATAAGAATAGAAATAACTAATGTAAGCTGTGCTGACTTCATTGATGAAAGAGCAAGGTATAAATCCACAAGGCTTTGTCACCAGTAGAGGGCCTGGCAGCTGCGCAGAAAAGCTACTGATCCCTCTGTCCAATTTGAGTCCTTTGTTGGTTAACTTGTTCAAAACAGAGTTCACATGGTGAACTCTTGTTTGGCCAAAGCAAAAGAGAGACTTCTGTACTTTTAACTAAAGATTATTATAAATCTGAATCTTGAAAAATAGGATGTGCTTAATAGATTAAAAGCCAGAAATCAAACAGCCTGTGAGAAATAGTTCTCATACTTTCTGTTGCATTTCCAACTGTTGGAACTGTAGACACCCAGTCAAATTGAACAGGTGTGGATAGAAAAGCATCTGTAGCTTACATTTAAAAAGTATTAATTTAGTTTGTATCTGTACAGATGATCTGCAAGACTACAGATAATCGTAGCTGATCTGTTTAACATCTTAATCTGGAAAGTGACTTTACGGGAGGTGCTTTTATGAAACCAACAATTGAGTGGTTTTCTAACATCTGAATTCAACTATTCCTGCAATCATGAATGCCTGGGAGACAGCCTAATATAGGAGGCGGGCAGTAAAAGTAGTTTATATTGGGCATTGTCATCTGGCAAAGATTGTTGTTTGTCCACCTGATACAAGCAGGTCTCTGAAGTATTTGCTTGGTTCACTGCACTCACCAACTTCTGATCTAGCAACGAGACTCTCATATGTGTCCTGTTCTACATCATTTATTAAATTACTTATATAATATGTTTTTGCTCTAAAGCCATGTGTATATAGAAGTAATCCCTATTGATACTGGGAGCTAGTTCCAAATAGTCCTGCTTACAGTTGTGGCCAAAGGTTATACTAAACTTATTATTATTATTATACTGCCCATCTGGCTTACAGCATATATAAAAACATAATAAAACATCAAACATTAAAAATTTCACAATACAGGGGTTCCTTCAGATATCTTCTAAAGGCCGTATAGTTACTCATCTCTTTGACATCTGAAGGGAGGTTATTCCACAGGGAGGGCACCACTACCAAAAAGACCCTCTGCCTGGTTCCTTGTAACTTCGTTTCTCACAGTGAGGGAACCAGCAGAAGACCCTCTGAGGAGGACCTCAGTGTCTGGGCTGATTGAAATTTCCTCTTCAGTTCTTTATAAATCCTTTGATTGTATTATTCACCATTTACTTTAAAGTAGTTATTAAAGAACCACTCTAAGCATGTTTACTATCTTGTCAAACTATGTCTTACCTAGGAATGATTGCATCCCATCATTATACCAGCAGTAGCTAACATGTGTTAAACTCCTTTCTGGTACTTCTGGCTTAGTTACCCTTGATTTTGAATTCCCAGTTTGAAAGAATGAGCAAGTTACAAAAGTAAACAACTGCAAGGATCACAATAATGGGCACATTCGGTTGTAACTACGCCACTTAAAATAGTGATAAAATTATGGTCTCAATCTACTGATCCTCTGTACATAAAACACTTGGGCTTGCAGTTGGATTTTCTGTTACCTCTCAGCAACAACTCCCATTGTGTGCATCAGGAGTCCCACTTGCACACGAATTTCAAAGGCTGGCTTGTTCTCCCCGGGAAGCTGCTGTTGAAAGATCAGCGTTTTTTTGGGGAAAACCCAACCACCAGCAGCGGTGCTGCACTTGCTCTTCCCTGGATCCAACAACTGTGCAGATGTATCTACAGCTTGAATATTCTGTTTCAATCATTTATCTCCTGGTTTCCTAAATTGAGCTCATAATTTTATCATTACTTAAAGTCGTGTAGCTACAACTGTATCAGTGTGATCTTTGCGGTTACAAACTCACTTTGGTTGTTAAACAGAATTTGGAAGACATTTTGGCTTTTGGGCCCTTACCTATTAATACTCCATTTCTTTTCCTGTTGTACCCCTGCTCCCCTATCTTCCTATGTACATGAGACTGTATGTCTATGGGAAGGGTGTATCTTTAATTTTGTTTATACAGCTGCTAGAAAGGAATGTTACTGGGGGTTTTTAAATCAAAGTAATTGTCAAAATTGAAAGCTCCTATATTTCCCATTCAGTATTTAGAGCAAACCCTGACTTTTTAATTATTTGCAATAGGAACCAACCCTTTCAAAATGCAGCTCGGGAACCATCCACCATCACCATTGATGAAATGTTCAGACATTGTGAAAATGTTGTGGTTTTTTCTAAGTACCCAAGGAAAGTTTCGGCTCATAATTCTTGCACCCTAACTTAATACTTCTCTTCTAGCAGAATATATATGTGCATTTGAATTATGGTTTCTTTTAGCTTAGATGCATGACTTTTCTGTGGCTTATTACAGAATGATTCTAACTAATGCCAGTGCGGAAGACATTAGTCATAAATTTAATGTCTTCCCATTATAACTAGTTATAAATTCCATGGAAAAGCACTGGTAGGCATTTGAGCAATTCTCCTTGATGGTAACAGTACAAGTAAATATTTTTAAGATTCGTTCTGCTAATTCACCATTGTCAGAAGTATTAGCAATAGAGGCTGTAAATTTCAGAAACTGAAATGCCAATATCCCTGCATGACCCAGCTGTTTCTTTTGAGCTGATAGTAGAGAAGCAGATGATGTCCTAACCTTTGGACAGCTGAAAGTGAATTTGCAAGCTACTTCGTGCATCTCAAAGTGAATGAGTACACTATGGTTGAGTGTATCATGCGTGACCATGTATTACCGGGGGGAGGGGGGAATTCTTCTTGAGAGGCATTTACTCACACTTACATTGTAGTGAGCAACAGCTGGTCTTGGCTTCTTATGACATCTATGAAAAAATAGTTGCTCCTATGTATAATGGTATACGTTGTGGGTGCTTGTGATGTTTCCACTTATTTCTTAGCATGTGAAATGGTTCTTGAGAGTTGGAGTTGATTAAAAGACATACTATTTCTTATATGTTACAGGTAACTGCATTTGTGGACTTGTGGTACAAAATTGATAGATATCAATAGATTAGCTACATTAGGGGATTTAGAAAAATGTATTTTAATATAACTATTAATTGCTATAGAGACCTGTTTTTCTTAATCCACTGCATGTGTTGTCGTTTCTTTTTTAGAATTATAAATTAGCATTCTACCTCCTCCCTAGTTACTTAAAAAATGGAATAATCTTTGTATGTCAAATATTGACATTATTACTAGTTTACAAATTTCCAAAATTGAAGATGATTACTGGTTTTTTAATGCAATTTTTAATTTATCTAATGCTGTATTTTCAGATAGGACTAGATTGGCTGAACTTAAGAAGGTGCTTGAATTTCTTGCTGTTGCTTCTTCAGTGCAGCTGGGAATGACTTGAGAGGACAGTTTCTCTCCTGTAATTTAAAAATTACCCTAATGGTCTATTTTGTTAAGTTTTCACTTATAAAAGCAGCAAGATTTCACCGTGCTCTTGGGTTTAAATTACTAGGTGTGACTTGCTGTTGCCTGTAAATTGGAGGGCAGCTGCTCTTAAATAGAATTGGAAGGTAATAACAGGATGAGTAATTAGAGGTGCCCTAAAAGTATTTCCTGGCATCTCCAGGAAAGCAAAGAGTGTTTTATTCACCCAGTCAACTTGCTCTGTATTATTGGAAGTGTTATCTTGGAAGCTAAGTGCCACTTAATGCTAAGCGTGACAGATGTGTTTCAAGTATGCACTGTCTGTGTTAGTGTGTGATGGACACCTTAACATTTGAAGGTATTTAAACACACAGGACCATGCAACAGACATGAGCTTTGGAGCCATGGTTGACTGTGTCTACATGTACAGATGTGAATATCCACCTCACAATGCTACATCTCTTTTTGCATGTCCATAGAGCAGTCTTTTATACAGACTGTAAAGTTGCCCTTATAGTGCAGTTAGAAATGTTTTCAAAGCACCTTTTATGTTTGGCTCTGCTCAACTAATTCTGGTGATTGTAAGATTTATCCCAACACAGTGGTTCTCCAAGTAGAAAGCTGGCCTTTACAGTAGAAGATCACTAGGTCTGTGATTGCCAAGTATGAAGGAAAATGAAAGTTCAGTTTGCCCACCATCCTGGCCGCTTTAACCAGGACAATGCTAGAACTGTAAGATTTTCCTCATCTGTACCAATTCAGACAGCAGATGGTGATCATGTTTGAATTTTCTCCCCCATGCCTGCTAACTCTGTACATGGAAAACTAGGAAAGAATGTAGAACCTAGCTTCCTTCCTTACCTTTTAGGGTTTTTTATTTGTTTTATTTTATTGTGGGGAATGTGGCTGCAGCCTGAAGTTACACAGTATAGAGAAAGGGCTCATTATAAACTGGCCAACAGCCTTGCAGTAAAAAGGGTCACTGTGACAATTTGAGAACTGCAGTGTCAGCATTGCACAGAATTTCTTCATACTATATCCTGTTTATTTGTATAGCTAGGCCATCAAAGAGATCTATTGAAAATACACACAACTTTGTGCAATAGTGAATTCACTAGGGGCAGGGACGTGTCTGCTTTTTGCTTGTAAAATTCTGTAAAGCATTGTCAGCCGTGATATAACTGAACACGATAATAATCTGTTCACCCCCCTTAATCTCCTAATAAACACCTGTCTGTGTTTGAAGTGGAGCTCCAATGACAAGTAGAAATCCCAATGAATAATTTACAGAAGTATGTTAGTTTTGCAGTACTGCCAAATGTGCATAATTTTCTTGTTGAAGATGTCATGTTTCATCGTTTTCTAGAAGCTGCTGTTCATAATGTGGTGGATTATGCTGCATTGATAGACTTGATACCATAATGAGAGGTTTTCAAGTATAAACATCTGATGAGTGGATCACCTTTTTAACAAGGAAAAGAAATTCAGAAACAAAAAGTTTTTGATGTGCTCAGAGATATTTTAGGAAAGCTTTTGGTGCTGATATGTAGAGCTAAGTTATCGTGCAGGTTAGTTGCAAGTTCTCCTTGGTCTATTTTCGTTCCTTACTGGCATTCTTTGTAAAACAGCAGGGTCTTAACCCTCCTGCGTTTTCCGCCTTCAGAAGGAGGGTGGTTGTTCCTCACCTGTCTCCTCCACAATGTTCTCCACTCTTTCACTTGGACTTGGCTACGCTCATGCACGCCAGTGCTCATCACTCATATAGCTTGCTATATGCAAGCACATGGTCTGCTCTTGGTCAAAAAACAAAACAAAACTGCTACATTCATTCTCATCACAGCACTACGCTGAAAGGAGAAGTTTCTTCTTTGCTCAGCCTAGCACTGTGATGGGGAGGAGAGTTATCTTTTCTACTGTTCAAAGAGAGTGATACCCCCCCCCCCGGCCACCATCTTAGTTTGATGCTTCCCAGTGCAATGGTGGGGAGGAAGTTGGGCTGGCAAGTCATTTAAAGCAGCTTGGCCGGCCTGATTCACTGCTTTGCCACCCGTCTTCTAGACAAGGGCAGCAAGGGAGAAGAGGTGGGGTCATTAAAGTGTGCAGGAGTGGTAAAGTTGGAGGAAGGTTATTTGTTAAAAACTTACTGCCTTGTAAGAGAAAGTATGGCAAGGCTCTGAAGTGCTTTAGTGCCAAGGAGTTGTGTCACATGTGGAAGTGGATGAGTTACTAGAGTGGAGGGTCATCACATTGTCTGAAATGTGGGGAAACGTAGTGATTTGGTAGCAGAACACTAGTTTAAAGTGAGGAAACCAAGCTAAACCAGGTGACGCTATAAGTCATATATCAGCCTCATTTGCATATAAAGCTAGAAAGAAGCCTTACTTACAGTAAGTGAGCATAGGACCAGGGACACTGAACTTTTCCTCTTCCCATGCCTTGCCTCTCCCCATGCCTGTTGAACTACTTTTCCCTTTTCCTGAATCACTTCCAAGGAAGTGTTCAGCATCCCTCTCCTCTCCATTCATTCTAAAAGAAGATCCAGCTAACCTCCTATTTCATAGGTGAGTGGAGTGAATATATGGAAAGAAATATTGTGCATGCCGGCATCGCATCTAGTTTGACCCTTGTGATCTGTACTTTGGGGAGTTGCATGGAAAGGTCAGTATAAACTGTCACTGATAACGGGCTTATTATGTAACTTCCACTACTGACGTGGCAGGTGGATGGCATATCATCTGTGACTGTATCCATGGTCGTGCTTACAGAAGCATGGATTACAATATGCATGCTTAAGATGTTTCTAAATCAGGATATGTTGGGGTTCACTGATTATGAAGCCCATTTTCTGTCATACTAAATTAGAAGTGAACAGCTTGCCTTTCCACTAAGTATATCTTCTTGTTGGCATTGTTTTGAGAGAAGGTGCAGGGTTGGGTTTAACTTTAGTAGAGAACTTGGCAAACTGGTTGGATCTTTACAATGTTGGACAGTTGCTATTGAGCATCGTGTGTGTGTGTGTGTGTGTGTAAAATCACTCTCTCCCTATAAGCACACAATGTTATTAACACTTGGTTATCTTTCAAGGTGTGGGCACTGAAACTACAGAAGTTTCCCCAAGAAAGTTAGGGCCAAATAATGGATAATGCTATGGTCTGTGAGGTGTTTCCAGGATTGCAGCGATTTAACAAACTAGTTTTGGTGTGGTATGAAAAAGAGTGGTTTAGAACAATAGCCTTGAATAAAATGACTTGTAATGGCTACATACATGCCTTAGACTCTTTGTGAAAGGAAGCTGTGAACAGTTAAGGTTTTGAGTCTATGGCAGCAATGGGCAGAGTTCAAACTTTCAGGATCTGCCTCATTTTTTACTGGAATCCCGAGAGAGCCACTAACTGGAGGCATGTGCAAAAGAGGTAGAATTAAAGAATTCTAGGCCCAGGAATTTGGTTTAAGTCCCAGAATTGAGTGGAGCTCACAGCCCTTTTGCACACAAGTCTTTGTTCTCCCCCTCTGCCAGCTTTCTTTATTTTAGCGGCATTGGGGGGGGGGGGTTATTGTGCTAAACAAGGTGCCAAAAATCCTGGCTGATACATTTCAAAATTCCCTCAGTTTCCAAATAGATTATGATCTACCTTCTGCCCACCCCCTGGTCTATGGAATTGATCACATCCACTCAAAAGGAAGAGCTTCAGCGTGCCATGAGCTTAAGAAAAAACAACAATCATAAAGGGCAAACCTCTTCTGCTTTCAGTGGCTTGATCATACTGTGAATGCATACTTGCTACTCAAGTTCTGGAATTGCAAGCTGCTGCTTATGAAAACAAAGACTGCTGTGTCATTGTTAGCAGGCAAGCTGAGATCTTAAGCACCTAAAGAGGAGCAGTTAACCGATAACTGTCTTGGCTGCTTTTTTCAACCATTTCTTAACAAAGGAAAGAGAATCCAGAGTCACGAAAAAGCATGTTTCATGAAAACATTCCCCAACAATAGCAGATCCTATGCACAACAACTTGCATCAAGGGTCAGTGCAGTATCTATTAAAGTCAAACAAGAGGTCGGCATATTGATTAGTTTGTGAATGGACTTTGAGAGATAGATGTTACATTTTTACTGCCTTGGAGGACTTTGAATTTTGGGCATGGAGGCAAGATACAGAAGCTAGATAAATTGTGAATGGGCAGTAAAATGGCAAGTGCAGTTCAATGTAAACAAGTGTAAAGTGATGCATGTAGAGGCCAAAAAACTTGATTTCACATACCGTATTTTGCGCCCCATAGGATGCACCGGCCCATAGGACGCACCTAGTTTTTTGGGGGGGAAATAAAGAAAAAAAAATTATTTCCCCCCCTGGTGCGGGGCTGGAAGAACCAGGTCGGGGAACAGCGGGAAGGCGCGCTCTGCCTCCCCGCTGTCCCCCGAGCTTGTGGGGCTGGCGATGGGGAGAAGTGCACTGAGCCTGGGACTGCAGGCACCTCTGCGCAGCCATGGGGAGCCGGGCGGGACTTTGCGCCCGGCTCCCGATGGCCGCGCAGAGCTGCGCTGAGCCCGGGACTGCAGGCAGCTCTGCGCGGCCATCGGGAGCCTGCATTCGCCCCATAGGACGCAACGTGATAATGTTCCTAAAATTATGCATGGAGGAGTGAATAGAGAAATGTTTTCTCAGTGTGCTAGAACTTACAGGCATCCAGTGAAGTTGAATGTTGGAAGATTCAGGGCAGAAAAAAAGGAAGTACTTATTCACACAGCTCATCATTTGAGTGGAATTTGCTCCCACAAGGGGCATCATGAGTAGCAATTGCATGGCTTTGAAAGAGGATTAGACAAATTCATGGTGGATAAAGCTATCAGTACCAATCAGGGCTATCATCTGCCTTCTTGGTAGGAGGCAGTATGCTAGAAACTGCAGGTCAGAAGAGCGCTGTTCTGCTCAGGTCCTACTTGTGCGTTTCTCATGGGCATCTATCTGGTTGACCACTATCAAGCAGTCAATCATTTTATTTGTATGCTAACTTTCCAAAGTTATAGCCATGCTCAAGGTGGCTAGCATAATTACCAACATAAGAAAAGTAGTCATAAACAAGCAAACATCAATAAGTACACATTGAACCATTTCCAAATAAATCATAAGATCTAGATTAAATATACAAAAAAACAACCCAATACCAGTAACACCCCACAACAATACCCCCTAAATGATACCCCAGCCAAGAGTCTGTCCAGCAGCCTCAGCTTTTGCAGCTGGAGTCAGTCAGGGTCCTGCCCTCCCAGGCCAGGTGGGAAAAGGTCTGGGAGGGGCAGGGCAGGGAGCAGGATGAGTGCAGGATTTTGGAATAGATTGGCTACTGGCCAGATACAACTGCTGTTCTTAAGTTCTTTCACTATAAACCCGGGGTAGGCAGAAGGCAGATGGAGATCTACAAGCAGATTGCAGAATGATTAAGAGTACGTCAGGTGAGTTTCTGACCCCAAACTGTTTAACAATAGCAAAATATATTCCCCACTCCCAATTGGTTTTGAATACCTGTAGCATCTCAAATGTAGATTTTGCTCTCCTATATGCAGGTAATCCCTGTATTTGGGTGAATGAGTTAACTGGCTCCATCCTTTTCATAAGTAAGCCCACAGGCATTACTAGCCTGCAAAGGTCTTTATCAGCATGCTGAGGGATTTGAGGTCTTGATAGGACAGGCAACTGGACCAACCAAAAACAAGAATTTCAGAAGAAATGAATGCAAAGTTCCACATCTAGGTAGGAAGAATGAGATACACACATACAGAACAGTGTAGCACCTAGCTTGACGACAGGATATGTTTAAAAGATATAGGTGTTAAAACAGAAACTGAATATGAGTAGGAATGCTGAATAATTTTGTTCATTGATGCTGTCTGTGTTGTGGGCTGTAGTTCCCATAATCCCTGACCATTGGCCAGTCTAGATAGTTGTTAGGAGCTATACAGTGGTACCTCGGGTTACATACACTTCAGGTTACATATGCTTCAGGTTACAGACTCCACTAACCCAGAAATAGTGCTTCAGGTTAAGAACTTTGCTTCAGGATGAGAACAGAAATTGTGCTCCGGCGGTGCAGCAGGAGACCCCATTAGCTAAAGTGGTGCTTCAGGTTAAGAACAGTTTCAGGTTAAGTACGGACCTCCGGAACGAATTAAGTACTTAACCTGAGGTACCACTGTAGTCCAAAGCATCTGTAGGGCACCATCTTGGCTACTGCATTAGGTTTGTCTTCAAACCATTCATAGCACAAGCTGTGAATGAGGTTTGTTCTTGGCTTATTGCTTGTGGTTCATATGGGGGAAAACAAACCCAACCAGGGCTTAGCTCCCAACAGTACAGGTGCAGTAGGACCGAAGGAGAAGTGGAATGGTTGTGATTTTCAGTCTTTGCACCACCATGCTGCATGCTCACCTTTAAACCGTGGTTGAGCTTGACCATGCTTTGAAAGTGACATGTGAACCAGCCCACTAGTTTTTGAGCGGTCTTCGAGGGCAGCCTCATTGCAGCACATTGCATTAACATTTCAGGAGTGTAAAGAATTGTAGCCACTCTCCCTCTGTTTGACATGGCTATAGCTGGCTACGGGTACTTTGTGTCTTGAATGCCACTTCAGCCGCCAATGGGAAGGTCAGATCTAAAAGCACCCTCAAAATTAACACCTGAATCTTTAGGGAAAGTGCACCCCCATCCAAAGCAGCCTGAACACCACCTCTCAGGTCAGAGAATGCCTGATCTCTCAACCACATAGGCTTTACCAGGGATTTCAGTAGTCCTGATCGTCAAGCCACTCCTCACTTACTGCTTCAGTCTTTTAGTTCTGAAAATTGTAATTGAATAACAGAAAAGGAGCACCCCTTTTGTGACGCACAAGTCCTAAAAGCAGAACAAATAAATGTGTGCTGGCAGTTATGCTAGCATTAAACAGAATTAGCAGCTGGCAGATCTTGATAAATGAATTGTAAAAACTGCAGTTTGCGTACCCAGGAGGGAGCGACAACATTAAATATTGAGTAAAGGTTTGGTGCTGTGATGGATTCCTCTGTGCACATTCGGTAGCTGCGTATTATCCTCAAGATTAGTACCAAACAACAAAGGCAGCATTGAGACTGCCCCAGTTGTCTTAATTGATATCGGACTAGTTCTGTTAGAGGTTACACTTCCTTCGCTGCTGCTTTGATCCTTCTGTATTTTTCTTTTCTTTTGCCTGAGTAGGCTAACAAAGCAGAATTTCAACAATATGTCGGGGGTCTCACAAAACTGTACGGGTCAAAGCAGATCTTGCGAAAGATCGTCCTTCTGATCCGTTCAGCCTGGGCCTCCTGCTATGTTGAGCCTGTGTTGACTTCCAGTCAAGTGTAGCGAGGTGGTTCTGTTCATGCTCTTGCTACATCAGCAGCAGTGTGCCATATGCTTACCTGGGTTGAATTAAGTGAATGTTGATGGTGTACATGTGGCTGAGAAGCAGGCATGGACTGGCTGAAAATGGGAGCATCAGCTAAAGGAGAGGGTTGTGTGAATAGGCCATGAATCGTTAAGGCAATACTGTACATTGCTGCTCCCAATTTTCTGCTGCTGTTATGTTTGCTCTGAAGTAGAGCTAAGGATTCGCAAAGCTATGTTGAAGGTGTGTCTAACCCAATGATAAATCTTGAAGATAAGCTTTAGTATGCCTAGGAATATACCAGACTAAGCTTCTGACCTTCAGAACTCATCACAAGCTCTTCCCAGGCAGTCTGATTTGGGGCTGGTCTTGCCATATTGCCAAGGCTGGCTGTTTTCAGAGTTCTGCTTCAAGGCAGTGTATACAATTGCTGCAGTGTTCAACAGGTGGAACCCCTGTGCACTCTGCCTCTCTAGTGGGGTGTGTTTGCATACTCTTGTCACCAGGGATTGGATGAGACCTTTTAGCATAATCTCCAGCCTACTTTTTATTTTCTTTCTGCACAGCACAGTGTATATCTACAATTCGTCTGAGAGTTTATTTCCATCTTCTTGGTTCCTTTCATTCTGAATATTCTGTGTCTCTTTCCACTTCATCAGATTCATCAGGATTTATTTTTGATGTGCAGTCCAATACTGTGATGGCTCAAGGAGGTACCTTTGAAAACATGAAAGAGAAGGTAAGGAATTTCTGAACAGTTCTTGTAGCTGGGAGTTTGGCATGTTATATTGCTGCTAGGTTATTATGATCTGCGACGGACAGAAATTTGGAGTAGATAGAGACCTCTGCTGTAGGCAAAGCTGTTACCCCTTTTGATTCTTTGATTCCTGTACTACTGGTTTGGGGGGAAATGATCTCTCTGTAACTCTCCATTTCTCCCTTGCCTCCTTTCCTCTGCCATTCCTGCAAGTGACTTTAAAGCCGTGATTGAGACATGTGCATTACCAAAAAAAGGGAGGGGAGCTAGCATTTATTTGGGGGCAGAGATGTACTGGCCAGTTGCATTTGGCAACATATTGAGTCATAATGTAAGCGTTGCAGTAATAACTGAAGCAAAAGGGACCCAGGTGGCTTCAGGGCTGCTGTGTGTTCATGTTGCCTCCAGCTATAGCGTCTGTGAGAGGTTTGCTTCCTTGGGATGGGCTTCAGAAAAACATTGCCAGAGAAAACAACACTAATGGGCTGTTCCCAGAGCAAAACTGAAACTGACATCAGCTGGAAGAAAAGAAACTTAACTAGTTTCCTGTGTTGGAAGCAAGGGGAAATGTTTGACTTGGAAGCAAGTGGTTAATATGTGACCTGCATATCTCATTTTTCTAGATCAGTGCTGTGAGAGCAATAGTCCCCAACCGCAGCAACAACGAAATTATCTTGGTGTTGCAGCACTTTGATAACTGTGTAGATCGAACGGTGCAGGCTTTCATGGAAGGTGAGTTTTTTAATAACCAGGTTCTATCTCAGATGCTGGCTATCATCTATGATGGGGATAAATGGTGGGAAGGGGTTATGGGCCTTGCATTGTGAATATGTGCAGTTACAAACTCTTCACTTTTGCACCTAGTTTATTTGGTGTGGGTGTTTGTGATTCTTGGTTTTGTTGGGGACCAGGAAGGTAACATTTGGGGTGTGGAATTTGGTATGGAGAAAGACTGGAAAAGAAGGAAGGGTGTAAGAGTAAAGAGTTCCACTCTGAACGTTTATTTCCTTTGCATGTTTTACATGCAAAGACAATCCACATAAAAGGGAAAATCAGTCCTCAGCTCTGTAAACTGTTGAGGGGAAAGTCTCCTGGGCAACTATTTGACAAAGATCACAAGCAAGCACGACATCCAAATATGCATCATTGTGGCAAAATAGATATTCCTGCAACTTTCACACAAGTATACATACTTAAAACAAATATTTGGTTCATGTAGGACATATGTGTGCAAAGCCCCCAAAATACTGTTTTCTAACTTTTTAATGAAGAAGCAGCCATACATTTCTAGATTTTACTTTCAGTCAACGTGGGCTAGAAATTTGTTTCTCGGCTCAGAAGTTTGTGTGCTTGGATCAGTACAATTTTGCTTTAGCATCTGGGTTCTATATTGCACCATCTTGACAATATAAATTCCCACTTTTCCTGCTTCATTCTTTTGTATATGCTTATGTAGGTACATGAACATTTAAATGTTTATTACTTGAGGCTGGACAAGAGCCAGTTTGCTGGCCAGTCCAAATGTACCTCTCATTAAATGGTAATTGTCTTTAGACTACATAGGGAGAGTTTTTCTTGGCTTTTCTCAGAATGAGCAGCACATTGGTTTCATTCCTGAATATGTTTTCTTTCTTTCTTTCTTTCTTTCTTTCTTTCTTTTTTTGCATATACTCTTTCAGAATCTATTTAGGATCCACATGAAACAAAAAGGTCTTATTTCGGTATAGGATTGAAACTAGAATTGTACGCACAGAGTTTTTAAACTCTTTTGTCGCTACACTACCATAAAAAAAAATCAACCAATATGTAAATTATCTATGCAATGGCTAGAAATAATTTTTTAGTTACTTGGAAGTTAGTAGGCTGTACTTCCAGTGCCAGGAAACACCTCTGTATTAATGCAGTTGTTTTTTTATATATATAAGATATTTATTAAGGTTTTTTTAAAATATTACAATAGAAATGAAAAAGAAAAGAGAAAAATACAAAATAAAAACAGTTAAAAACAAACATATTTTCAGTTACTTATTTTCCTTTAGCTTGTTTCCTGGACCTCCTCATACCTCCCTTTTTTGTATTCCACTTCGATTTATTGGTTCAGCAAATCCTTACCATTAGATTTTAACCCATTTATAACCCTTTTTTTCATATTCTCTTAAAGCATTACAGCTAGAAACCGCTTAATTACTATCCAACATCATTCTGTATTAATGCAGTTTTATTGCTCCAGCACATGCGTGCTGCGACACATTGCGTGGAATACTGTGATTCAGAAGGGGCACACTTGAGTTCAAATTAGATCTCTGCAGCAGCCTGTATCAGTTTTATCTAGTTCTCGCTGACATTTCTTGTGCCCAAACCAAACAGGCACTTTGTAACATACAAAGACTTTTAATATCAAACACAGAAAGAGAAAATTCCTACAAGAGCATTTGGATGCCCCTTGTACGTAAATCCTCATCCCTCCTTCGTTTTCCTGGCTCTAATTTCATGGAAATTCAGGCTCTGCTATATTTTTCTCTTCGGTTTTTTTGGTCAAAAACTCTCAGAAAACACCTGGGGATAAGAGGATGGTCTGCTTTCCAACCCATGGGCAGAAAAGAAATATATAATTCTTTCCTTCATGTGCTATCTGCGCCACATCAGTTACTTATGTAACTCTAGATTCTCTTTTAATATCTCGTGTTACTATCTCCTTTCTACTTCACATTCATAGCGCATAATTCATAATACATTTCTGCTTACGATTTTTCTTTTTCGAAAACAGGTAGTGCCAGTGCAGTGTTGAAAGAATGGACAGTAACTGGAAAGAAAAAGGTAAGCCTTCATTTGGTCTTGAACTGCAGTGTATTGGGTTGGTTTGGAGTCTTTCTGGAAGGACCATGGGGCTTTCTAAGCCCATCTTCTTGTACCACTCACACCAAACGGCAATGACGCAAGAAAAAGAGAATTTGTCATAGGGCAGCACTGCGTATTTATTACTAGATAACGTTGATCTGAGAAACTACTCCAGTGTCTGGTAGCTTTTGGAACAAAGTTTCAAAACCACAATTCACTTCTGCTTAGCATTATTGGTGTGTGTGTGTGTGTGTGTGTGTGTGTGTGTGTGTGTAAGTAAAATACTGCCCTATACTGCAGGTTGGTTCACAGAATAAACAGAATATAAAACCACAAACCATTCATGAGAGACGGTATCATGTGGGAACATTTTCAGCTGGCATGCTGAAAAAAATTCCTAGCCCTGCAAAACTGTTCCTTGGCACCTGTCTATTAGGCTTCTTCCAGGTTCAGGGGTAGTTTTCTGATTTCTTGATTAAATTGTTATCCCTTTGGCCAGTGAAAATGTTACTCAGCCATGTCCCTGGCTTCTAAGATTTCACAGTGTGGTTCTCACTCGCTGTCAAGCACACCTTTTCAGTTGCAAGGGCTAAAAATGGAAAGCTGCAACTCTCAGAGCCCATGAGAGCCCAGTGACACATCCTGTGCCTTTTCTGCATTTGTACAAAATAGTGGTGTGCACACATCTGTGAGTGCAGCCAGTCCTTCAGAATAATTGATGGTTGAGAGCAGTATTTTTAATGTTCTCCTGCACTAAAGTCTTTCTCTATGCACAGTTGCCATGCATAGTACACTTGGGCCACATTAATCTCAGTCTGTCGGTTCTAATTGTTAAATAAATCCATCCCACTTTTAAGGGATCAATGCCTAGGACGTTCAGCTATAAAGTATCTAATTATCTGATGTTCAAGTAGTAAGAATGATCCTGGAAATTAAGCTTAGCGTTTTTCTTTCCTCTCCCCCTTCCCCCTTGGTGGGGTGGATATATTAATCCCTAGAACAAAAAGAAGAAAACTAAGCCAAAGCCTCCTGCAGAATCGAGGGCCAGCCTTCCTGACCCCAGCAAGCCAGCATCCACCGAAGAAGAACAGTCTGTAGCCTCATCTGATAAGGGTGGGATCAACGGTTACCATGTCAATGGCTCGGCCAATGACACAGAGTCTGTGGACTCACTCAGCGAAGGTTTGGATGCGCTTTCCATAGATGCCAGAGAGTTGGAGGAGGGCGAGCCTGCAATGCCTGAGGTGCCTGATGGAGCAGGTTAGTTCTCTGTCAGGTTGTTGCCGAAAAGCAGTACTGCTGCTTGTGTGTGTAAAGAAATAGGAGGGCCTTGTTCTCTCCCTTCCGCTGTGCTTAAATATGTAATAATAATAAAAACAGATTAAATACCTTTTTTGCTCTTTAGCACTTTTAACAGAAAGGAGGCCAGCTAGTTCTTTGGAAATATGGTGGAAACTATTCCAGGTTCCCAGAGGAAGGAGATGGCAATAGGAGCGAATTCTGCTACAGTCGTACCTTGGAAGTCAAACGGAATCTGTTCCAGAAGTCGTTTCAACTTCCAAAAGGTTCGGAAGCCAAAGGACAGCTTCTGATTGGCTGCAGGAAGCTCCTGCAGCCAATCAGAAGCTGCGGAAGGCACATTGGACGTTTGGCTTCCCAAAATAGTTTGCAAACCGGAAGAGTCACTTCCAGGTTTGCAGCGTTTGGGAGCCAAAACGAGAACTAAGCTGTTCAAAAACCAAGGTATGACTGTATAAGGTTGGGTATCTAAATTTTGCACTAAAGGCTCACTTAGAAGTGGCTTCATAGAGATGGATGCTAGTGTATCTTCTAGGTAGATGAGCGTTCATAGCACATTGTTCTTTCTGGCGATATGGTGCTCTGCCAAAACTATAAAGAGGTGCCTAGGAAAAATAGTTTGGGAACCCTGGCTTACATAATTGCACTGTTTTACTGTGTTATGTTCTTCAGATGCATGAAGGTAGGACCTTCTTTTCCTCCCTCTTTAGTAACATTAGAAAACGGGCTAGCAGACCTCAGTCCAAAGCCTGCCACCACACGGTCTTCCCAGAATGCCCAGCCTCTCCGGGTGCAGCCTGAACTGAGAAGCTCCAGCAAGCCGCTCTCCAGGCCTGTATCCAGCAACCATTCACCTGCCCCTTCATCTCTGACGATGCTGGATGAGGTCCCTGCGTCCTCTGGAAACAAAAAGCTAGGTAGGCTGGGTGGGATCTGTGACTGCTGCATGATTCTGTTGTTCATTTTCTAGGCTTCGCTGAGCACATCATAGTTTCACCGAGCAGATCTGGAAACAGCTACAGAGTGACTACATCTGTTCTAATTACTGGGCTGAAAAGTTTTAATGTGTGCCGCCTCTTGTCTCACTATGGGGGTAGGAATGGATAGCATTGGACTAGGATCCGAAAGACACCTAGGTCAAGAGCCTGCTCAGCCATAAACAACACTGGATAACATTGTCCCAAGTCACTCTCAGCCTGACCCTCCCTCACAGCTTCTATGAAGGTAGAAGAGGAAGAACCTGACCCACCATATATGCTGCTCCCAACTCCTTGAAGAATGGTGGTATAAAAGATGAGAGAAATAAATGTGCCCACATCAATGGGATCTTGAAAACTGGATATAAAATTGAAAGCTGTTAGCTATTAGTTCCATATGCTGTAAAGAGTGTATACAAAGGCATTAGAGATGTACAGTTGTACTTTGAAAGTCGAACGCCTTGGGAGTCGAATGTTTTGGCTCCCGAACGATTGAAAACCGGAAGTGAGTGTTTTGGTTTTCGAATGATTTTCGGAAGCCAAACGTCTGGCGCGGCTTCCGTGGCTTCCAGTTTGCTGCAGGGAGCTCCTGCAGCCAATCAGAAGCCATGCCTTAGCTGTCGAACGTTTTGGAAGTTGAACGGACTTCGCAAATGGATTCCGTTCGGCTTCTAAGGTACGACTGTATTCTGTTTGTCTTGTTCATGTCCAGCAGTCTTAGGAACATGTCTGCATGCTGCTCCTCAGCCCAATATAAATTAATCATTTATATTACTGTTCTGCAGCTCTTTGGGCTAGATTCAACTAAATAATTGCACTAGCAGGAACCAGCAATATAAGTCCCACTGGTGCAAAGTGATTTTTCTCAGCTTTTTTTCCTCCATACACTGCCCTCCTCAAATCAGCTTTGGGATTAGAACAGCAAAAGAAGGAAAAATGGTTCCGTCTAGCACACAGAAATATGTGTGCTGACAGAACAATTGTAATAGCACAGCATTGAATTTTTTATGTCCATTTATTATCTTGTAAAAATGCATTAAGAAGACGTTTTCTAAACAATAAATCACCATCCTTGTCTTTCACTGTGTTTTAACACAAACACTGTGCTAGCTGCTACTTTGGTATCTTACACCTGGTGGGTCCTGAGTTGTGATCTTCCTGTGGAAGATTGAAACTGATGGCTCACCTCCTCCTTCCCCACTGCCTTGGTGGTAACTTTCCAAGCCTGCTTTAATGTCAGACTGCTGCCACCCCTGTAGTTCTTGTCCAGTTTTATGCTTGTTCTGCAAGTCCTGTGGTTGGGGAAGAAATTGCATGCAGAATTACTGAGCAGTCTCCCAGCTCCGAGGCTTATCCCCTGGATGATTTGAGAACATAAGTCACCAGGCGAAATGTCTCTTCCCTGTTGAATTTGAATTCCAGCTCTGCTTCCATTTGGGCTGCAGAGACCTCTTGTAAGGTACAGAATGTGTTAGGTAAGCCGGGGCTTCATTTGCAGAGCGCATTAGGCAGACAGTCTGCTGAAATTGAATTTAATTAAATTGCCTAGTGGTGGGAGGATTATGAGCGCTTTAATAGGAATGTTGCATCTTTGTTGAGCAGGCTATAGATGACACCCTGTCTGTTAACTGCCTTTCCTCCAGCTGCTATAAAACTAAGACACAGAGTTGGTTAACTGAAATCCTTTAATTAGTTGGTTTTCCTGCTCAATCGTTGCCCACTGTTCATATCATTTAGAATTTGTACTATCCCATATTTTTTCACCATGTTCCTTACTGGAAACTTTTCAAGATCGTGTACATTTTTCCCATGACGCGAGCCAGTATCTCAAAGAAACCTGGTGGTTAATGAGAAGCGGCAGTTTCTTACCATTCCTTCCTTTAGTCTCCTCTGTTCCTGTCTCTACCTGTCGGCAGCAAGGACCTCCAAGACCTTGATTCTAAGCATGGCCATTATCCCTAACTTCGGGGAGAGATGAACATCCGGCTCCCAGCATCAATGGTTCACCTTCTCGCAGTAACAAGGGCTATAACAAGCAACTGGCAGTTTAGCTTAGCAGGGGGTGAACACTTTAGCATGCCTTGGTGATGGAAATAAGCATGGAGATGTGCTCTGCTGGAGAGATGAGGCAGAGTGTCTATAACCTTTATTGCTCTCTCTTGAGTCTTTCATCTTTTCTTTTAGAAGAAACTACTCTTGTACAAGGGACGCGGGTGGCGCTGTGGGTTAAACCACAGAGCCTAGGACTTGCTTGATCAGAAGGTTGGCGGTTCGAATCCCCGCGACGGGGTGAGCTCCCATTGCTCGGTCCCTGCTCCTGCCAACCTAGCAGTTCGAAAGCACGTCAAAGTGCTAGTAGATAAATAGGTACCGCTCCAGCGGGAAGGTAAACGGCGTTTCCATGCGCTGCTCTGGTTCGCCAGAAGCGGCTTAGTCATGCTGGCCACATGACCCGGAAGCTGTACGCTGGCTCCCTTGGCCAATAAAGCGAGATGAGCGCCGCAACCCCAGAATCGGTCATGACTGGACCTAATGGTCAGGGGTCCCTTTACCTTTACCTACTCTTGTACAGATTTGAGTTTACTAGGGGGAAACGCCTTCTCAAAGTTAAAACTCTGAAATTTAATTCATAATTAGATGCCCCACATGTGCACACAGTCCAGTGCATCTGGCGTATTCTTGAAGTCAAGATATCATCTTCTGGTCAATCTGGTAATCTGTTTTATTTAAAAAAAAAAATCAAATGGGTACTTCATGGCAATAAGTCAGTAGTTGACTATGTATTAATTTCATTGCTGAATGCAAGCCCCACTAGGATGAGTCTCACCTAGGAACTTTGATTGGGAACTCCTGAGTTGATTCTACTGAAGGCAGGGCTTACATTTGCTGCTGAATTTAAACTTTGTGCCGGATGCAGGCCTGCTTTTACCAGGAACCTTTGCAGCCATGGCTTAATTCATGTGAAGGAAGAGAGGAAGAGCACCCCTTAGAGTGTGTGCCCAAAACTTCCTTTTGAAATTGAATTGCCTAGCTTCAAGGGATTTACCGGTCGGCAGTCCCATGCAGCTGTCAAAAATGCTCCATGGAGAATTGGCCAGTTCTGGATTGGGCCTTCAGGCGGATCCAGTTCGTCACCTCTGCTTTTATAGCAATTTGGAAAACTTGGATGGACTAATACTAGAAGGCTTTGTGTGTTTCTTTTCCCCCGGCAGGTTCTAATATTGAAAAATCAGTGAAAGACCTCCAACGGTGCACTGTGTCACTGGCTCGGTATCGTGTTGTAGTTAAAGAAGAAATGGATGCCTCCATTAAGAAAATGAAACAGGCCTTTGCAGAACTTCAGAGCTGGTATGCTAACACCTGTAGAGGCTGAATTATTCAGATATGAATAAGTTTAACATGTCTTGGAAAATGGCAACCACTTTACTTTTATGAGTGTTTTCCTTGGGGCCTGTCACTTGTAAGGTAGTCATGTAGGTAGTGTACATGGTCAAGTGTATCTTCTCATTGATGGTGGTTGTTTGGAAAGGCTGCCACCAGTAACTGAAGCTGGTGGTGGTCTTCATGTTGGCTACCAATCCAAGCTATTGGACCCTGAAACATCATATGACAGTTCTGCATTAAAGGCAGTCACAATCTCCTCCCATTGTTCCTTGAAGCCGCTGAACTATGCATGTCTTGAAATGCCCACAACTCCCCCTTTTGGGGGAAGAGCTGAAGACGTGAAGCCCCTGATCTGTATGCCAATGGTTCCAGGTTTAAAAATCCCCTGTGAGGCCCTTGTTGCAATTGTGCACTCTGACGTGGTGAAGCATAACTAAATTCTGAAGGAATAGATATTTAATTCAGGGGTTGCCAGTGGGGCACCCATGGGCTCAGTGGTGCTCTTGAAGTCTTCCCCTGGTCAGATGGCAAAACATCTGAGCCCCTTGGTCAAAAGGTGGCGAGGGCAGTCACCTCTGTCTTCCTTGAAAAGCACACATTGCTGAAGGAAAAAGTTGGAAGAGTGACACCCTTTCCAGTTTCCTTTTTCAACTCATGTGCTTTCCAAGGCTCAAAATTCGCATGCACTTCCTCCCTGTCTCTCAGGTGAGTGGGCTCTTCCAGAGGGGAAAATTCGCATGCACTTCCTCCCTCTCTCTCAGGTGAGTGGGCTCTTCCAGAGGGAAAAAGTGACTGAGGCAGTTACTGAGTTTTGCCCATAGTATTAGCATATTTCTGTAGTGGTTCCCCATCTGTGGGATGCTCTCCCCAAGGAAGTTCAGCTGGTGCTTTCATTATACACCTTTAAGTGTCAGGGGAAAATGTTCCTCTTTGACTAGGCCTTTGGCTGATCGGCATCCAATGCCCTTTTAAAATGTGTTGGGGGGGGGGTTGGGTTGCTTTTGTTTTTATTATGTATTTCGTGTTTTTACATTGTGATTTTATGATGTAATCGCCCTGACACCTGCGCTGTGGTCGAAACCACTGACCCTCTTGGGCTTGCCGATTGACAGGTCCGCGGTTCGAATCCCCTCAACAGGATGAGCTCCCATTGCTCTGTCCCAGACTTCTGCCAACCTAGCAGTTCGAAAGCACACCAGTGCAAGTAGATAAATAAGTACCGCTGCAGCGGGAAGGTAAACTGTATTTCCGTGTGCTCTAGTTTCCGTCACAGTGTTCCATTGCGCCAGAAGCAGTTTAGTCATGCTGGCCACATGACCCGGAAAGTTGTCTGTGGACAAACGCCGGCTCCCTCGGCCTGAAAGTGAGATGAGCGCCACAACCCCGTAGTCGCCTTTGACTGGACTTAACCGTCCAGGGGCCCTTTACTTTTACCTTTATAGGGCGGTATACAAATTTAATAAATAATAATAATCAATTGGTCAAGTATCAGTGCCCCTTTCTGTGGGTTATAATCTCTGCAAAATGAGAGCTCTAGTTTTGCTAGCTTAAAAAGTCCTCCTCTTGTAACAATTAATTCTTTGCTCTTTGACTCACACTTGCGTCACGTTCAGAAAGGTCAAAGACCCGAGTGTGGTTCAGCAGCCTGGCTCAGATAAGTCTGTGTGTCCCAGTTGCTATGGGAAGGGTGAGGGTGGAATCAGCAGAAACCAGGAAGTTCAGTTCCGTGACACAGGGATATATAGTGCCTGTTTGGAAGCAAGCCAGGGGAACCTCCTTCAATAAATGTCAAGTAGAGAAGGTTCCTGCAGGGAGGCTTTTGTACACAGGACTGATAAAACACTGAGCCTGGGGTCAGTTTGGCTCTACATTATAGCCAAGATTATTTGCCTTTTCCTTAAAACGCAGTGACGGGTCTGCTAGAAAGAATTTCTTCCACATTCCCTGTGGGTTTCAAGGAACAACTGTTGCACGGGTTGAAGTCAGTGCAGACAAATGGAATGCTTTTCTGTCCATTTCTGAGGAAACCAATTCATGTCAGTATGTAAAGCAGGAAGGGTGTCACAGGAGCAACCGGTTTTGGAAGAATTTTAGTTTTAGATGCTGTGATGGTTGACACAGCACAATTGTTCCTTAACACCACAGGAGTTGCAGTTGGTTTTAAAAAGATGTTATATTGTCATATTGTCTTCCGTAAGACATACCAAGCAGTGGAACGAGAACAGAACACAATGCTAAGCTTTTCTTTCAATAGATTTCCCTCCAGAGAACCAGCCTTCCTGTGGCAGAAACAGTTGCCTTAGGCTGTGTGTGTGGTCCTTTGAGGTGCCATTTCAGATTATGTGGGCAACAGCATTTGCAGCAAAAGAATTAAGGCCACCTAGAACTGTAGAAAAGGGATGCAGGTGGCGCTGTGGGTTAAACCACAGAGCCTAGGACTTGCCGATCAGAAAGTCGGTGGTTCGAATCTCCGCGACGGGGTGAGCTCCCATTGTTCGGTCCCTGCTCCTGCCAACCTAGCAGTTTGAAAGCACGTCAAAGTGCAAGTAGATAAATAGGTACTGCTCTGGCGGGAAGGTAAACGGCGTTTCCGTGTGCTGCTCTGGTTTGCCAGATGTGGCTTAGTCATGCTGTACGCCGGCTCCCTCGGCCAATAAAGTGAGATGAGCGCCGCAACCCCAGAGTCGGTCACGACTGGACCTAATGGTCAGGGGTCCCTTTACCTTTAGAACTGTAGAACATTCTGAAGAATCAGAGCTTAAACCTCAAAGTCAAGGTTCTTCTGATTTCCAGGCAGTGAATTGATTGTTCGTGCCGTGTTTCTGTGCACTCTATTAATAAAGTTATGTCACAAATTCTGGAAAGGGCTTGCAGTTTTCTGCTGCCATCTGTTGGCTCATTCTTTATACTGGTACTGATCCATTCAAGCTCACTGAACAGCATGAACAATTCACATGCCTCTTGTCCCTGTTCTTTCTGCATAGGGTTTATAGCAGACTTGTTTTTTGTCCACAGTCTGACAATATACAGGCTATGAGTGTAAAAGGTTTGCCCCTCTCACCTCTATCTTTTATCCTCCTTTTTTTCTAGTCTCATGGATCGAGAAGTAGCCCTTCTAGGTGAAATGGACAAAGTGAAAGCAGAAGCAAGTAAGTATTTTGTTTTGTTTTTAAAGAAATTGTGTTAATAGCATTTTTGTATGGAAATGCAGTGACTTAAAAACAAACAGTGAGCCAGACCTTCTCTCCAGCCCATTCCATGTCCCTTCCAAATATAAAATCCATTATCTCATAGGCAAAAATGGCATTAAATGAGTGAATTCTGAGTACAAATACCAAAGTCTTGCAGGTATGGGCAAAACTGCAGTTTCCACTGCTGTAACTAACCTGAGCAACAGGCCGAACAAGGGCTAGGGCACAGACAATGGGCAGGCTACCCACTGGAGTCTCATTTTTGGTGTGAGAACATGATTATGAAACTTAATTCAATAAGGCTTGTCTATAAGAAGACTTCAGGAACACCTCAATAGCTCCATCAACAGTTGTGTCATCTGGGTGCATGGGTCTTATTTTAAAGAACTAAATGGCTAGGCATAACATACCAAAGAAATTGCTTCCTCCCTGTGTCCCATTATAATGTCAAAGACAGGCGCATATATCGTACCTTTTGCATCCCCCCCCCCATTGGAAAAGTAGCAGCTTCAGTGAGGTAACTATTTAGCAGGAAATCAATCCTGGGGGGAAAGGGTTAACACCACTCCCAACCCTTGGCATTTCACGTACAAGCAAGATTGCATTAATGTACACAGTTGCTATTATTATTATTATTAGCGCGATTAGCATTTGATCCTATCCGTAGATCTCCAGTATTGCATCATGTTTAGTCCTGAAAGCTCCAGTTTAACAAATGCAATTAGTCCAAGTCAGGGCAGAGTGTGTGGAAGCCTTCTAGGTGGATTCCTCATAACTATTGAACTCCTACTCCCTAGAGTTGGCCTTTTGGGGCTACGTACAGTGGGCGTTTTTAGCATCTGCTTTAATGTAGGTTTCAGTTTTGTTCATTAATTTGCTGCTTGCAATGAGCTGCTAATATCAGTGAGCCAGTGATTAGTATCACTGAGCTGGTTATGCAACTGCCTTGGGCATCATAACCGCTTGGTCTGCATTCCTTTACATTTCAGTGGACATCCTAAGCAGCCGGCAAAAGAAGGCAGAGGCGCTGAAGAAGATGACTGATGTGGCTGTCCGAATGTCCGAGGAGCAGTTGGTAGAGCTTAGAGCTGATATAAAGGTGAACCTTGGACTTCTGTGTGCTATGCTAGCCCTATTCTTACCATTAATCATGACTGTGGACTAAACAGCTGATGTAGAAGTCAGAGCAAAGTAGAGTCAGAAATAGTAACCATGTAAGGTAAAGGTAAAGGTACCCCTGCCCGTATGGGCCAGTCTTGACAGACTCTAGGGTTGTGCGCTCATCTCACTTAAGAGGCCGGGAGCCAGCGCTGTCCGAAGACACTTCCGGGTCATGTGGCCAGCATGACGAAGCTGCTCTGTCGAGCCAGCACCAGCGCAGCACACGGAAACGCCGTTTACCTTCCCGCTATAAAGCGGTACCTATTTATCTACTTGCACTTAAGGGTGCTTTCGAACTGCTAGGTGGGCAGGAGCTGGGACCGAACGACGGGAGCTCACCCCGCCGCGGGGATTCGAACCGCCGACCATGCGATCGGCAAGTCCTAGGCACTGAGGTTTTACCCACAGCACCACCCGCGTCCCCTTGTAGCCATAGCTTAATTCCCTGGTATCCTCCTGTTACAGGAGAATTGTAGCTGAATTTACCATATTTTTCGCTCTATAAGACACACCAGACCATAAGACGCACCTAGTTTTTGGAGGAGGAAAACAAGAAAAAAATATTCTGAATCCCAGAAGCCAGAATAGCAGGAGGGATCGCTATGCAGCGAAAGCAGCGATCCCTCTTGCTGTTCTGGCTTCTGGGATAGCTGTGCAGCCTGCATTCACTCCATAAGACGCACACACATTTCCCCTTACTTTTTAGGAGGGAAAAAGTGAGTCTTATAGAGCAAAAAATATGGTATATTTTGCATGTAGGATGGCCCAGGCTCAGTCCATCGTACCATTTTGTGTTAAGGAGTCCTCTTTCATACCTGAGCTGCGAAGAGTCTCTGGAGAATGTTTGACCTTGATAGGGTCAGGGTTGAGAGGACTAGGCTAGGCACTGGTCTTCCAACTGGTGGGTCACAGAATCATACAGTTGTAGAGTCGGAAGGGACCCCGAGGGTCATCTAGTCCAACCCCCTTCCTCGCAGGCAGGCATTTCAGCACATGGTTGCCCACCCAATTTAAAACCATACCAGGCCTTGCATAGCTTTGCTGATGTGCTAGCGGTTTTATCGCTGCACCGCTAGGAGTGGCCTAATTCGAGGTGGGTTGCAACAGGAGCACTACCACCATGCATATATATGGTACAAGATTAAAAATTGGGCCCCAAAATACATGTCCTGCGTCTGAAAAGGTTGCACAGAGTGGGGGGGGGGGGGAGAGACTTGGTATCCTCTTGAAACGTGTTGCTGGAATTGTGCCGATGTTCACCTTGGTAGCGAAAGAACCTTTGAAAGAACACATTCTTCATAAGGAATCTCTTCTTACTGATAGTCTCCGGAACCAACTCTGCACAGGGGTGTTTCCAAGGGTGTCTGAAGTTCTAACTTTTTCCTCCATCTGAATAATAGAAAGAACCTCCAAGGTATTCCAGACTTCTGCCAATGCAGGAAATCCACTGCTACAATATCCCCAATCGGTGGCCATCTAGTCAAAGCTAAGGTTTCATTAAAAGTTCTCATTCTGATCTTTTTTTATTTCTAAAGAAAACCAAGATAAAGTGCTCAGATTAAATAAATGTATGTAAATTCATTTGCTTGCATAATGCATTTCAAAACATTGCATTCCCCTTTTTCCTGACAAACATTTGCACTTCACTGGCGTTCAGCATCTCGTTTAGAGAGAAATTCCAGTCTAGACAAGAACCTCTCAGCTACCAAGCAGAAACCTTTGCCTGTGCTTTCTCTTTACATTTGTTCTCACTTTTGTTTTCTAAAAAGTAGAATAATCTATCTGATCATGGAGCATCAAGCATGCTTGCTTCAAACACATAGCTCCAATAAATGCTCTTTTTTTTTCTACCACCAGAGGGCAGAACAAAGTTGCATAAACATCCCACTGAGCTCAGACACACTGCTCCACCAGCAAGACCATGCATAATTTTCATCTCATGTAAATTACCATTAATGTAAGGTTACCAGACGTCCCCGTTTCCCAGGGACAGTCCCTGGATTTACAAATCAGTCCCCATACAAAATCCATTGAAGTTGAAAAGTGTTCATTGAAAAAAATCTGGTAAGCTTACATTAATGACACTGGAATGAATGTTTTGAAAACGCTTGCAGATAAATGGGATTTCCTTGCAATTGGAGGGCTTAGTTTTCTGCAGCTGTGTTGGTGAATCCGGAAGGTAGCATGTACCTTGGCCACACTCTCGCAAGCTATGCCTTGGCAGATCTCTTGGCATCGGGGCCTCAGCTTGGCTCAAACCCTGAACATACTTAACAGAACGTCATTAATGGAACCTTAACATGCCGGCATTTTCCTCTTTAGCACTTTGTTAGTGAGCGCAAATACGATGAAGATCTTGGAAGGGTGGCTCGTTTCACTTGTGACCTAGATGCACTCAAGAGGAGCATTGAATCTTTTGGACAAGGTGAGCCAACCCTGTGTGTGTGTGTGTGTGTGTGTGTGTGTGTGTGTGTGTGTGTGTGTAGTATAGATAAGTTCTTCCTCTCATTTCCAAAGCTATTATAAAAAGAAATAATTTTATGGTACCCTAAAGGTGTGATAATGCCATGTTTTGCTGTGACACCAAATTCAGCATTGTCTGTGCAGAGGAAGAGGGAATTGCTAAGTAAGGCTTTATTGGGGATTTGGACATTTCAACTTCAAACTTCTGCCATTCATCTGTCTTTTGTCCTTGGGAGGTCATCTGCTTCAGAGCTCTGATGGTTGTACTAATGAAGTGGAAACAGGTGGGGGCTGCAACGAAATGTTGCAGTTCATTCTCCCTCCTAAAAGGAGGTGGGCTCCTGTTTTAGAATTAACCCCACGTAGCCATTCAACCTTTCCCCTCACTCCTTTCCTCTTGATGTATCGCTCCTTTTCCAATTGTTACTCTACATTCAGTGGCTAAATTCAGTCCCTATTGGACAGTGCGTAATTTTTGCCACTTTAAGGTGTTTATCTTTTAAAGGGGGGGAAACTGCAAACCTTGGGACTCATGCAAGAATTGCTGCATTTTGGCTACAGTCCTGTGGCTGACCACCACTTGAGTTCCCTATTGGGAAAAGTTTGTAATATTACCACAAGGGTGCTGCAGGAATAGAGAGAGAAGACCCCCCCCCCATGTAACACATCACCTTTGAATATGCAGCACTTTATCTCTCATTGTTGTCAAGAGGAAGTAAATTCTCCTTTGACTCTGTTATAGAAGATGTGTGCAGGGGATTCAGATTACGACAGCCTCTTCCTAAGAGCTTGCCTTGTGTTCTTATTTCAGTTTCGCACCCAAAGAACAGCTACTCCACCAGGTCACGCTGCAGCTCTGTTGCCACGTCTGTGAGCAGCCCAGATGAGCCCAGTGCCGCAAGCACAGTATGTGCCTCTGTTTCTGCTCCGAGCCTTACGACGACCAATAAGAAACCACCACCCCCTGCAGAAGCCGCTGCAAATGCAACAAGCCGTCCATATCAGCCCTACCGTGAGGTAATGGATTAATGTTGCCTGTTGTGGTTGCAACTGGCATGTGGGTGGACCATGAGTACATTGCTTTGAATGGCCTTTGCTTGTAGTGTAAGAACGAGTGGCTGCAGCCCCTCTTGTTTATATCTCAGCTTTGCATTCGCTGCCAGCCTTGCAACATGGAGGCTACCACAAAAGGCCAGACTACCAAAGCCCTGGGCTCCTTGTGGCCCAGAAAGGGCTATGGCTCTGTGTCTCTTCCACTCTTTTTCTGCATGCATTCATGCACCCTAAACGGCTTTTTAGCAGGCCATGAGTAGAGGGAGCTATGCTTCCTCATGGCTGTGAATAAACAAGGCAGTTGTGCTGTGGTGCAGGGGTTCCCCCCACAGTGGTTGCCAAATTTCATTGGGATGGTCTGTGGTATATCTGAAAAAATACAATTAACAATCATACAGCATCCAGCTGCATTGCAATTGCTACAAAAGGCCTTAAGGTGGTCCACCAAGACCCTCAGTGGTTTTCAGGTGGTCCGTGGGGGGAAAGTTTAGGAACCACTGAATAGGCAGGGGCATGTGGAAGTCGTCATCTTAATTTCCCATGGGCAACCTTTTTCCTGTATGCTGGACTGATCAGAAGAGGCTTGCCTTTATTGTGTCCATTTGCACGAAAATTTAAAAATATGCTTAAATCCATATTCCCTGAAAATAGAATGAAAATCTGTTAGTACAGTGGTACCTCTGGTTTCGTACTTAATTCGTTCCGGAGGTCCGTTCTTAACCTGAAACTGTTCTTAACCTGAAGCACCTCTTTAGCTAATTGGGCCTCCCGCTGCTGCCGCGCCGCCGCACGATTTCTATTCTTATCCTGAAGCAAAGTTCTTAACCCAAGGTATTATTTCTGGGTTAGCGGAGTCTGTAAGCTGAAGCGTATGTAACCCGAGGTACCACTGTAACTAGAAAGTGTATCCAATATAAAATGCTCTCTTCCATTTTTTTATATATTGTACAAATATGCTCAAGGTTTAAAGATGTGCTTGTCATCACTAATATCTTTTTTTAAAAAATTAACTTGACCTTAGTTGTCTAAATGCTCTAACTCTGTTAATAGATGTGGGAGTGGGCACTGTCCTTTTTGAACCACTCCTAAAACAGGAGCCTGGCAAGACATTCTTGTTATACTGATTTAGTGGCGGAATATCCTTGGTGATTGTGTGTCTTGGCTCTTTGCTGAATGTGGCAAAACCTGCCGGCTGCCATAGCTATTGCTCACAGTAATCCTCCCTTTCTTTCCGTTTTAGGGTTTCCAGGGTAATAGAAGATCTGGTCAAGGTTACAGGGCCCAAGTGCAACGCCAAAATGGGCCCCCACACCCCAATTCAAATCGGTACCGAAGCGGGCCTTGGTACCAGTCCAACTCCAGGTCCCGGCCACCTCCTGGAAACGCAAACAGCCTCAGCCAGACTTACAACACAGGAACCAATGGAACTGGTGCTGAGCCTGGTGTGCCAGCCCCAACTGCACAGTCCCATTCGGGCACACTCAGCAAAGAAGCCAAGGCTCTGCCGCAGCGGAAACCTAGGTCAAGCCAATATGAGGCGGCCAATTCCTGAAGAGCACGAACTCTCTGCCACTTCCCAAAACTGGATGACGAGATTGTAGGACACACCTAGCTAGAGATATTAACAAAGGAACGTTTACACTTGCTGCCCCCTTTGCCACTTTTCTCTTCCTTTAATCATTCCTTTCTGGGAAAAGCGGCTCCCTAGCGCTTCTCCTGCCCTTGCTTTCTGCCACGTGACATGGGTCAGGCTTTAGTGGAAAATGCACACATGATCTCCAGGCATGGCCTTGGCAAACCTCACTGCTGCCACCTCCTTTGCACTCTCTGGCTCCTCTTATTCTGGTGCCGTCCTTAAACATGGGCTGACTTTCAGCCCTAGAAGCAAAAAATAAAAAAGGGGGGATGTCTTCCAAGAACCCCAGCCCAAAAGCTTTTGCTCTCCCCTCGCCCTCCCTGAATGCTGCTAGCCAGGCCTTACTCCTAACAGCAAAACTCTTCATGCTGGCAATGAGACAAATTGCTGTGAATTGTGAGACCAAGATGAGTGATCCTAATGGGAGGAGCCATTAAGAGAGACTGCTGGGATGGTTATTTTCTTTTTACATCTTATCTAAATACTACATTTGGGAAAACTGGGCTTGTATCTCTCTCTCACTAGAGAATGGAGAGGTCCAGTCCTCCTGAGAGAAGCATCATTTTGACTGTACGTCATGCATACATTTAGATGTCCCCTACTTTTAATGTTTGGTGAGGGATGGGAGGTTTAATTTGCTCCCGGTCACGATCCCATCGTCTGATCCTAAACTAAATTTCTAGCAATTTAATTAGCAGTGCTAATCCTAGGTGATTGCAAGTTCCAATAAAAATTGCTACGGTCTTTCTCTATCCTTGTATAAATAAAAATGACGTACATGTTTAAAAGACGGCGAGTCTCTAGTTTGTGCTGTTATTTCTTGTAATTAAAGAGAGTTTGTGGTGATGTGGGCTGATCAGATGAGTTCAGAGTATGTCAAATCTAATTTCTAAAGCGTTTAGCAAGTGGAACTGGTATAGTTCTGGCTAGCTTGTGTAATCTTAAGTTCTCGGTGCAGCTGTGACCAGTAAGACAAAATGGAAAATTTATTTGAGACACCCGATGGATAATACAAACAGCTTAGTCTTGACTTCAGGCTTGGCTTTGCAGGCCAAAGGGAAATAGCAGAAGAAAGATAAGAGGCTTTCGGAAGGTAAAAAAATGCTGTCAAAAGTGTTCAAAGCACATCTTGGTAAACCATTATGACCATGTGATGTATTTAGCTTCATACCCAAAATAGAAGACTGTTGAAAAATGGTAACTTGTCTGAGGGCAACTGCTGAGTTTTATAGCAGAAGAGAAATTTGAACTAGGAACTTTCTGGCTAAGAGATTGAGCTCTTAGCCATGACTTCCCTACTCTTATTATCAATTTAACTTGTCTAAAGAATTGTTCTCATAGGACAAGCATTAATAAATTGTGGTGTGTTCCAGAAGCACAGAACTGTGTAGGTTAGAATAGGATGGGGGCAATAAATGGCAAAGCAGTTCATTTAGAAAAGCATCACTATTACATCAACAAAATATCACAGCTATTTGAAATAAAATTTCTCTCCTGTTTCTCAAACCTTCCAATCAACCAGAGGGCAACAACATCTACCTGGTTGCAGACCGAAGCGTTTACAACAGCGAAAAGGATATTCAAACACACCAAGGCGAATCAAGTACATTAGAGGCATGGGTAGTAGTGAGAAATGAGTGAGGGCAGCGTGTATTTTCATCTTTCATTGCTTGGAGCACATTCACTTTCTGTCTTGGAAGCTTAATCAAGCGCACCTCAGCTACTTGGTTTGAGAAGATGGGTGTTGGAACATAGGCAACAGATGTAGGGAACCTTTTCTCCCTCCAGATGTTGGCGAACTACAACTCTCAGCCAGTGGCATTGGCATCGCTAGCTAGGGCTGATGGAAGTTGTAGTTCAGCAACATCTGAAGGGACAAAGCTACTAATCTTGGTTGCAGGATTAACCATTGCAAACATGATACAGTTCTGTTGGCTCGAAAGTGTGTAGTGGTTAGAATAGGATGCATGTTTGTTTTCCATATCCTTGAGTACGGAGTACTGCTTCTTTTTGCTGGTGTTCACCAATGGATCTAAGTGCCAACGGTGCTATCAAGGAATCCCAAGCTCTGCGTCCAAATCCTGCTTTCAGCTTCATGCCATCTCAAAATGTGATTCATTTTTTAGGTTTTTTTTTTAATCCTTTCTCCTAGTGCAGTGTTCAACTTGTAAGGGGAGAGGGGGAGCTAAGAGCAGGTGACCTCCTAGAATTCAGCAGCAGAAAATTCATGTTTTACAGAGCTTGGAGCAAGCAAGCTTATCCTGATTTTCCCAGTGAAGCCTTTTAGTTGTCCCCTGCCGTATATAAGCCACACATTTGAAAGTAAAAGAGATCCACTGACTCGCTTATTAGGAAGATGCTATGAGAAAGGTGTTTTCCTCAGCGAATATAATCCCTGGAGTAGCTTGTTTTGGTTTAGCTTTATATAATTAGGAATATACTTAAGCTGAAATGAAAAATGAAGTACGTGGAAAGAAGTCTATCCGTAAACAAAGCCTTCAGCTTTGTGAAGTGGATTTGAATAATCTTCGTCTTACAAATGCCTTGAAAATTTACTCCTCTGGTGAGCCTAAGCGTTCTTAATTGGAGACATTTTGGCAAATATTAGGTTTCCATTTCTCCCAGTCCTCTATTCCCCCTGCACCCATACCGCGCTCTCTGCTGCTGGCCTGCTGCTTGCCCACAGCAGGTGTAGAGGGTAGAATAACTGCTGTACAGGGATTAGGTCCTGTGCCAAAAGTTTGCAGGAAAGCATCCAAATACGCTCCCACTGCAGCACAAACTTTTGATCACCATTTTTCTTATAACTTGCCCTTTCTCAGAAAAAAAAGAAAAAAAGAGCTTAGAGTGGCTAATGAAATTCTTAGAAAGACGGTGACAAAATGGGCAGGGAGCGTGCCTATGTCTCTGCGGCATTGTTCGGTTTTTTAAATGAAAAAAGTTAAACGTTTTAAGTGTTCCTGATCCTGGAAGTCCTGAGCATGAAAACACTAACCTTGCCACAGAGGGTGGTTTCTCAGAAGTTTGCACCACGTGCTGGAGAGGCAATTTATTTTTCAGTTTAAACCCTAGGAGCAGCTTGCCTCTATTTGTGTAAATGACTGCAGTGGAAAATGAAATGAAAAAACAATTGCCTCTGTGTGTATTTGTCTCTCCCCCCACCCCCACCCCAATGTTACACACATAGCTTTATTGAACAGTGGCAATGGAGGATATGGAGCAGTTGGGCTTCCCTTATATCGTGGTCAGCCGTGAAATGGTGCAATTGGAACTGTAGAGTTGGAAGTGTTGGGATACTGCCAGGGAGATAAAGTCCATCAAGGCCCCCAAGCCGTCTGCCGGACGATCCATCGACCTCCCGTAGGCACGCAGCGACATGAGTTTCTAGAAAATATCTTGCCACATTCCAGAGCTCATGTCGCTCTATCAGCAGATAATGCACAGCCAAAAGTTGCAATCAGGAGAGCATTATTTACAAGTTTATTCAGCGTTGATCAGAACACAGAAAAACATGACTGCCTGCTTTAGTGTCTACGACACAGAGAGAAAACGAAAGCAACAGCAAACATAAACATCCTGTGAACAGGAAATACGCAGACTCTGACTCACAAAGCCTGCTCCCTTTTAAGGTGGAACGGAAATATCCTAACAGGAAGGGGCACCGAGAGTCATCTAGTTAAGGAGTTACCCAAATAATGGTTCTCAATAGATACCATTGCATTAAGGTCAGTGTGTGTACTTAAATCTTTTGGGGAAGACTCCAAAAATGTTGAGCTTTTGTTAGACAAAAATCCCAAAGTCGTCCCCCCCCAAATGTGATTTTTCAATCGACTTGCCTAAGATCCAGGACAAGGCGCCACATTTTGGAAGTTTCCTCCAGGCGGCAATTCTGCCTTTGAAATCTTTGAAATACTCTTGGTACCGATTGCCAAACAGCCACACTGATAGAGAGGGCACTTTCCTTGTGGGCTAAGAGCTAGGAGATCCGCAGAGGAGCAAGCTGGAATTGCAGATGAAGCTGCCTGCAACTTCTCCCCTTCAATGGGCAAGTACCGTATTTTTCGCTCTATAAGACGCACTTTTCCCCCTCCAAAAATTAAGGGGAAATGTGTGTGCGTCTTATGGAGCGAATGCAGGCTCCATGGCTTCAGCGAAAGCAACGTGAAGCCTCCGAAGCACAACGGGAGCGCTCCCGCTGCGCTCCAGAGGCTTTGCGTTGCTTTCGCTGAAGCCAGGAGAGCAAGAGGGATCGGTGCACCTATCGCTCTTGCTCTCCTGGCTTCGCTTCGCTGGAGAGGCGCTGCACAGAGAGGGAGAGGATTTTTTTTCTTGTTCTCCCCCTCTAAAACTGGGTGCGTCCTATAGAGCGAAAAATACGGTGATAAGTGAGTGGGAATAGGGCGGAGGTGATTGTGCGAGTGCAGGAGAGGGTAGCTGGGCTTGAGGGATGCAGAACGAGAAAGCACCAGGGTGACATCACCTCTCTGGTTCCTCATCAACTCATAAGGACTGTCAGTTGTAGCTTAAGGTAAAGGGTAAAGGGACCCCTGATCATTAGGTCCAGTCGTGGCCGACTCTGGGGTTGCGGCGCTCATCTCGCTTTATTGGCTGAGGGAGCTAGCGTACAGCTTCCGGGTCACGTGGCCAGCATGACTAAGCCGCTTCTGGCAAACCAGAGCAGCACACGGAAACGCCATTTACCTTCCTGCCGGAAGGTATTTATCTACTTGCACTTCGGCGTGCTTTCGAACTGCTAGGTTGGCAGGAGCAGGGACCGAGCAATGGGAGCTCACCCCATCGCAGGGATTCGAACCGCCAACCTTCTGATCGGCAAGTCCTAGGCTCTGTGGTTTAACCCACAGCGCCACCCGCGTCCCTTCAGTTGTAGCTTACTACTCATAATAACTCCCATCCTCCTTGTCCCCACGGGCAACTGGGTTGCTAATCAGCATGCACAGAAGCAAGGGTTCCTATCCTCTTCTCCCTCCCCTGCCCCCCCCGGCTATGCAGACCCACCGGTCTGAATCAGTTCCAAACGGTTTAGACCAGTTCCTACCAGCTTGAACCAGTTCAAACCGGCTTTGACCGGTTCTAACCGGTCTGAACCGGTTCTAACCGGTTTAGACCGGTTCCAACCAGCCTGAATTGGTTCAAACCGGCTTCAACCGGTTCTAACCAGTCTGAACCGGTTCTAATCGGTCTGAACCAGTTCTAACTGGTCTGAACCAGCTCAAATCGGCTTGGACTGGTTCTAACTGATCTGAACCGGTTCTAACCGGTTTGAACCATTTCCAACCGGTCTAGACCGGTTCCAACCAGCTTGCACCGGTTCAAACCAGCTTCGACTGGTTCTAACCGGTCTGAACCGGTTCCAACCGGCTTGGACCGGTTCAAACTGGCTTCGACCAGTTCCAACCGGTCTGAACCAGTTCCAACCGGTCTAGACCGGTTCCAACCAGCTTGGACCAGTTCTAACCGGTCTGAACCAGTTCCAACCGGTCGAGACCAGTTCCAACCGGTCGAGACCAGTTCCAACCAGCTTCAACTGGTTCAAACCGGCTTCAACTGGTTCAAACCAGCTTTGACCGGTTCAAACCAGCTTCGACCAGTTCTAACCGGTCTGAACCAGTTCCAACCGGTCTAGACCGGTTCGAATCGGTCTGGGCTGGTTCCAACCGATCTGGGATTGTTACAACTGGCCTAGATCTGTTCCAACCAGCCAAGACCTGTTTCAACCGGTATGATCCGGTTTCAACCGGCTCGGACCAGCTCCAACCAGTCTGAATTGGTTCCAACC